TAGTAAAATAGTTCTAGTAGTCTTAACACCGTAATGTGGAAGTCGTCTGAGTTTTACGTCAATATTTAAACAAAGATGGAAAACCTTCAAAGGGATACTGTATTTTGAATAATTCCGTAAAGTTTCATGAGGATTTGATGGATAGTTGGATTTGATGGATAGTTTAATAATGTTTAAAGGACATTAGGCATACATACACACGTACATCATAATATTATGGTTGAAACATATAAAAATGTAGGATTACCGGTAGCTCGTCCTACCTTCTCCATCTATATCATAATATCTTTAAAAATATTTATTTAAACACTTTTAATGTGTGTTAAAACACTTTTCATATTTGGTGTTTTTAGCGAATTTCCCATATAGGGAATAAGCTATTACCGTAGTACTCTCATGGTAAGACCTGGACTCGAGACCGATGTTTTTTCGTTTTGAGGTTCCTAGAGGCCAAAAACAACATCCGTTCAAATTCATATATCTACAGGGTGATTGATATAAGTGTGCCAGCCGTTTTATTCGAAAACCATAAGAGATATCAAAAAAAGTTAAATGGTAAGTGCCTTGGATTTTTTATTTAAAAAATTGTAGTCAAGTCGAAAAAATTGTTTTAGCCGCCATTTTTCCAATATGGCCGCTAACTTTGATTTTTCTTAAGGAACACCCTGTATTTTATGATGTATTCCGGTAGAAAATGTAATTTAAAGACGATTTTATTCTTGTGATTTTTTTCATAAACCTAACCGTTTCAAAGATAATAATTGTTTAAGTTGTGAAATTTCGAATAGTTTTCGAATAAAACAGCTGGCATGCTTGCTTAGGCCTTTATTGAAACTCTTTCTCATGCAGAAATTTCAAAACTTTAACCATTATTATCTTTGAAACGGTTAGGTTTATGAAAAAAATCACAAGAATAAAATCGTATTAAAATTACATTTTCTACCGGAATACATCATAAAATACAGGGTGTTCCTTAAGAAAAATCAAAGTTAGCGGCCATATTGGAAAAATGGCGGCTAAAATATTTTTTTCGACTTGACTACAATTTTTTAAATAAAAAATCCAAGGCACTTACCATTTAACTTTTTTTGATATCTCTTATGGTTTTCGAATATAACGGCTGGCACACTTATATCAATCACCCTGTATATGTCTGTTAGCACGATAACTCGAGCAAAAATGATCTGATTTTGATGAAATTTGGTATAAACGTGTAAACCTACATTTATTCGAACGTGTTCGCGAACCAGCATGATCGGACTATGGGAACGGGGGTTTACGGGGGGGGGGGGGGGTTTATGGGGTAAAAATAGGGTTTTCCCATTTTTTACCCAAAAAAAAACATAAAATTTTGCAATTCCTTTCCGAACCATTTTGTAGAGCTTAAAAAAAAACAAATAATTTAGTATATTGAAGCGTTATTATGCGCCTAATAAATGGTTACGGAGAAAATTTAAAACAAAATGTAAATTTAAAATTGCCATGTTATTCTTATAAAGAACAAGTAAACTGTTGTAGTTTGCTTGTTTATGAACATATTTTGATCAAATGTGGAAAATGTTTTTATTTGTTACTAACTATTAACATTTTACAAAAAAAAAAAAAAAAAAAAAAAAAAAAAAACACAAAACAAACAGTTTTACCCTCCCTGATGCAGCAAACCTAAGTACTTGTTAAACTAATTCTATTTAAATAGGAAGTAAATGTTATATTTTTAAGTAGACATTTTAGTGTAAATCCAATCAGGCAAATGGAAATTCGCTGAGTCTGCAGGTTTGCTGCGGCGGGGTATTAGTTTTTAGTCAGTAAATGTAAAAAATATTCCACGCATATGGCTCTTTTCATACACCTAAGCTTATAGAATTTCGAGATTTCGTAAGAATAAATCCTTTTTGAAATTGAGAAACTTAGTTCCTAGAAAGTTTTCCAGCTTTAAGTTTAGCCGCTGTGTTCAGACTCACACTTTCTTTTGTATTAATTACTTTCTTAATGTGTTTCATAAAGCTTCACTGTGAGAAAACTTTTTTTAAATTTGTTTTTTAACGAGAGAGGAAAAATATTTTGGTTGTAGCTTAATATATCTTAAAAATTGCTGTAAATCTGTTAAATACATAGTTTTACTGATAACTAACTACTATAGATAACTTTTGATACCTTAATAGCATGCAGCTTTCCGCAAATGTCAGTAATCAATTTTGTTTAACAAACTTATTTATTTTGATACTAAATCATTTTAGTTTGTGGTAAAATAAAAAAGCCCTATTTTTATTACTTATTTTGTATTATATCTGATCTATAACCTAATCCTTCACTTATTTTCGCGCTGGTTTAGAAAGTTGTTTTAAGTATAATTCTATTACAACTAATTTAGCAATTCGTCTTCATAATAATGTATTATAAACAATGAATGTCCTAAACCTGTCTACCAAACAGTTAAGACGAAATAAAAAATAATACGTAAAAACATTAAGTCAAGTTTCTCCTAACTTCGGAATAGCCACGTGCATAAATACTAGGGAGGGATTTTCGTGTCCGAAGTGGTGCTTGAGGTATATTTATCGCCTATTTACATCAGGGTTGGTAGCCCTGCTTCCCTTATCTCCCTTCACATCTAACTACACCATTTGTAGGGAAACTGTCCAGATAGGTCCATGTGGCATTGTTAAACATTTTATTTTCTCGGTTTTATTTTTTATAAATTATTTTAGCTTTTTTAGTTGTAAAATCTGTGTGTTTAAAATCTGTGTGTTTAGCTGTTATATCTGCGAAATAATAGGATCAATACAGTTTTTAGCATAATATGTATGTTCATTTTCTGATGTTACCAAACGTCCCACCAGTTAGGTTAAAATAGGTTTTTTTTTAATAAAATATACTAACTTACCATGTTAAAGTGTTTAAACTGGAAAATATGTTAAAGACAAATGCTTTATTGGGGAATTAATTGACTATAAGCCCCAATGAATTACTCTTTTTCAATACAAAAAAAGTTTGAAGTATTTTCAAAAATATTTAAATTTTAATGTTTACTGGATATTAATTTTGACTTCTACTATGAGAAAAATTTAACCTTTGTTATAACAATTCTTAATTTCATAATTTAAAGGGTTTTTGTCCAAAGATATTTGATTTTTAACACCATATTTTATTTGCTCTGGTGTATACTGTCTTTATTTACACTATTTATTACAAACATATACCATTTAGGACTTATTTTAGGTTGATTGATAGTGTGAATATTCTATGTGTGCTCTTGTTACACTCTTTATTTACAACCCTGCCGTAAGATCGACTTTCGGCAAAACTTGCCCTTAAAGTTTTTAACTTGTTGGCACTTCTTTATGCAGTAACCGAATTTGATCATGTATTATGTCTATGTTTAGTTTAGTATCACAAGTTGGGGACTTCATGACGTTTTCTGCTTTATGCTTCATTATTGGTTAATCTGTTCCTCCCGAGACGCCACTTAAGGTCGCCTACAGTCATCCTACTGTTTCCTGTTTTATTCCTAGCTTGATTAATCTTCTTCAGGCCTAGTTTGAAAATGAACCTAGTTTGAAATAGGACTGCTTAATAAACGTGGTCAAATATCAGCACACAAAACAAATGTGAAAGACAAGGAAGGGTCCTAAATGCCATTTGTCATTTGGCTATCAGTTGAGGATGTCATTTAATAAAAAGTGGACGTTAGGTAGTAATAAGACCAGGATATGGACTGTTCCCTTTTAGAATATTAAAAGAATGCCATTTGTGTAAATAGACAGAAAACAAAATCATGCTGTGAAAATTGTGTGTAGAAAAAAGATTGGTTAAGTTGGTAAGTATCTGTTTTTACATAAATTTCTTACATAATCTCACTGAAAAATATAGGATTATCTTTTACACCTAGTGTGTAATGGAGGAGGATGTACAGTGGATAATTCACTAGAACCCTGTAGTAGTAATGCACAATCTTCTGCATGGTACGGAAATTATTTCTTTTCGGTACAGAGTTCTTCTCTGTCCATAAAATACAGGCTGAACAGTAGATGTATTTTTCTGCAGAAATTCTACTCTCCGTCTATTATAGATATTTTATGATCATGTACATATCAAATATATTTAAAAGTAGGAAAATAATGTAGATAGTTCAAAACAATCTTCTTGTCGTAATTAAAGAACTCATCCAGAGTGTCGAAATAAGTTCTTGTCTATTTCATAAATTAGAAAGGTTGATTGTCTTTACACAGCTTACAATGTTGTAATTGACAAGGTCTAATTTAAAACTAGAGATACATGCTTATTAATCAGATCAGACCCCAAGTGTTTGTACAAGAGTGAGGTTACAAACCTCCTTTTCATCAACGTTTCCATGTTGGCATTAAAAAAACATTCAACACTGTCAAAGAAAGCATTGCTGCATCAGCCTCTTTTCCAAGATCCTCTTAAATTTCAGGTAGGATTTTACTGGACCCTACTGTACAATTATCAGTTTTGTCCAAATTAAAGGTTTACAGGAACAAGGATCCTGTAATGAATGAACTTCTACAAGATGTGGAAAAATGACAGATGATAGTAACTAAGTTCTTGTATGTTTACAGACCTAACATCACCCTGCTGCAGAAGTTCCACATGAGAATAGCCAAGAGAAAGATGTACAATGACAAGGATCCTGAAGGAATGAACTTCTGCAATATTTGGGAACATGACAGATTCTAATCAAGTTCTTGTCTGTTTACAGGCCTAACATCACCTTGCTGCAGAAGTTCCACATGGGAATAGCCAAGAGAAAGATGTACGATGACAAGGATCCTGAAGGAATGAACTTCTGCAATATTTGGGAACATGACAGATTCTAATCAAGTTCTTGTCTGTTTACAGGCCTAACATCACCCTGCTGCAGAAGTTCCACATGAGAATAGCCAAGAGAAAGATGTACGATGACAAGGATCCTGAAGGAATGAACTTCTGCAATATTTGGGAACATGACAGATTCTAATCAAGTTCTTGTCTGTTTACAGGCCTAACATCACCCTGCTGCAGAAGTTCCACATGAGAATAGCCAAGAGACAGATGTACGATGACAAGGATCCTGTATTGAATGAACTTCTGCAAGATGTAGGAAAATTACAAAAGTTCTTGTTTGTTTACAGGCCTAACATCACCCTGCTGCAGAAGTTCCACATGGGAATAGCCAAGAGACAGATGTACGATGACAAGGATCCTGAAGGAATGAACTTCTGCAATATTTGGGAACATGACAGATTCTAATCAAGTTCTTGTCTGTTTACAGGCCTAACATCACCTTGCTGCAGAAGTTCCACATGAGAATAGCCAAGAGACAGATGTACGATGACAAGGATCCTGTATTGAATGAACTTCTGCAAGATGTAGGAAAATGACAAAAGTTCTTGTTTGTTTACAGGCCTAACATCACCCTGCTGCAGAAGTTCCACATGGGAATAGCCAAGAGACAGATGTACGATGACAAGGATCCTGAAGGAATGAACTTCTGCAATATTTGGGAACATGACAGATTCTAATCAAGTTCTTGTCTGTTTACAGGCCTAACATCACCTTGCTGCAGAAGTTCCACATGAGAATAGCCAAGAGACAGATGTACGATGACAAGGATCCTGTATTGAATGAACTTCTGCAAGATGTAGGAAAATGACAAAAGTTCTTGTTTGTTTACAGGCCTAACATCACCCTGCTGCAGAAGTTCCACATGGGAATAGCCAAGAGACAGATGTACGATGACAAGGATCCTGAAGGAATGAACTTCTGCAATATTTGGGAACATGACAGATTCTAATCAAGTTCTTGTCTGTTTACAGGCCTAACATCACCCTGCTGCAGAAGTTCCACATGAGAATAGCCAAGAGACAGATGTACGATGACAAGGATCCTGTATTGAATGAACTTCTGCAAGATGTAGGAAAATTACAAAAGTTCTTGTTTGTTTACAGGCCTAACATCACCCTGCTGCAGAAGTTCCACATGGGAATAGCCAAGAGACAGATGTACGATGACAAGGATCCTGAAGGAATGAACTTCTGCAATATTTGGGAACATGACAGATTCTAATCAAGTTCTTGTCTGTTTACAGGCCTAACATCACCTTGCTGCAGAAGTTCCACATGAGAATAGCCAAGAGACAGATGTACGATGACAAGGATCCTGTATTGAATGAACTTCTGCAAGATGTAGGAAAATGACAAAAGTTCTTGTTTGTTTACAGGCCTAACATCACCCTGCTGCAGAAGTTCCACATGGGAATAGCCAAGAGACAGATGTACGATGACAAGGATCCTGAAGGAATGAACTTCTGCAATATTTGGGAACATGACAGATTCTAATCAAGTTCTTGTCTGTTTACAGGCCTAACATCACCTTGCTGCAGAAGTTCCACATGAGAATAGCCAAGAGAAAGATGTACGATGACAAGGATCCTGTATTGAATGAACTTCTGCAAGATGTAGGAAAATGACAAAAGTTCTTGTTTGTTTACAGGCCTAACATCACCCTGCTGCAGAAGTTCCACATGGGAATAGCCAAGAGACAGATGTACGATGACAAGGATCCTGTATTGAATGAACTTCTGCAAGATGTAGGAAAATGACAAAAGTTCTTGTTTGTTTACAGGCCTAACATCACCCTGCTGCAGAAGTTCCACATGGGAATAGCCAAGAGACAGATGTACGATGACAAGGATCCTGTAGTGAATGAACTTCTGCAAGATATGGGAACACGACCGATCGTCCACGTTAGTAAGTTCTCGTGTATTTTAAGGATGAGGTTTAGTTGAAAACATCGACGCCTATAGGTTGGACTTTTAAAGTTGATTCTCATTATTTTAAAGTTATTTACTACATCAGAAAGCTACAAATATTTTACAACAAACATGGTTATTCTAAAATATTCTTGTTGTTTTAGGGTTGAACTATATTTTCTTTCTAAATACTCTTCAGATAAGACATGACTCTTGACCTTTTAAAACTATTTCAGCCGTGCTAAAAGGCCATAAAATACAATTTTCTACACCATGTGAAAGAATTAAAATTGCACTATTTAAGTTTAAAAGTAATGTATCCAAAAGATAGGGAGAGAACACCACTTTATTTCTAGTTCCTTCAATAAAATTTAACGTCTTCAATCTGATTTTCAAGCTGTTCAGTGATCATAGATGATTGCAACTGCAAGTAGATTCAAGAAACTACTTTTCTTATTTGCTCGTAAATTATATTTATTTTTCTTTCCCTTTTAAACAAAGTGCTCTAATCTAAATTCGTTTTGTTAGAAATATTTTTGAGAGAGTATATATAATTTTGACTTTTTACGTTTTTTCCTCAATATACCAAGATTCTAGGCTGTAGTGGCTGTAGTTTGAAATAGTTGTTACACACTATTTCATAGTAGGCCTTAATGGCTGAGTAATTATAGAAAAAAAACATTTTCGATCGACATGATTTGAACACGGGGCCTCAGGATCTGAAATACCATGCTTTAGCTCTACCTCGTTCCTCTAATTTGTTTTTTGAAATTTGGGGAAAATAGTAGTAAACCTTATGTTCAAATGAGGTTTTCCTCGTGTATCTAAACAAGTATATAATTTTAGTGTCAAAGTAAATTGTTCCATAAGATAATGGGCTTCTGTGAAACAAATATATGATGGACATGTTTCAATAGGATTTTTTTTACAGTTTTAATGGATTACAGTCCAATATACCCACTTGTCTTTGTAGATTCTTTACCCCAATGCTACCAACTTGATTAATGATGTTAGAAATTGTTTGGTTGGTACACTGGACTGTTTTGTACTTACACGTCTGTCTATCAAAGTCTCCACTTACAGACTTCCTTTCATGGTAGATTAAAATATTGATCTTATGTCAACGGACAAATTGAATTGTGTTTAACAAAGGTTCCTAGTGTCAAAAATACTAAATTGAGAACTAAAGTGGATATTGAGAGGACGGTGTTAGCATCTCAACTAATATACTTGCCCGCTACGTATGATCAAGTTTCAACAAATGGTTGATTTATTTAAATATGAAGATATTTGTCAAATTGTAGCCTACAGTATACAGAAAAAATTAACTCAAAAATAGGATTCAATAAAAAAATTTACTCAAATATTTTATGTTACAAAACCTATCAAATGATGGATGACAAAGTACTCAACTATTTAGGATGTTTGAAAATAAAAAAAGATTGATTGAATTATTTTGCCCTCTATTAATTTTTGTTTAATTTCAAATGCACTCCAGATTTTTTGCATAGAGTTAGGTTTGAGGTAAAATCTGTCAATTTACCTAAGTTTGGAATTTTTTTTTGTAATGAAAATTTATATTTTAGAACACAACTAGTTATTAAAAGCCTGAAAAGCTATGAATATACACATGAGGAAGTTTTCTTCTTCTTATTATTATTATTATTATACCTTAGCGTATATCATTTTATTTGTTGGACTTCCCTTTAAGTTTCTACCGTTTTATTTTTATACTGTAGGTTTGGTTACGAATCTAGCCAAACGCCAATAAGCTATTTCATATTTCACAAATTATTATGTGATGTAGAAATTCCTTTTCAAACCCCACAGTATTTTTTTGTAATTATATAAATTTAAATCGACACAACACATGCCATAGTAGTCTCGATAGCGTACACAAATTAACAAAATCATCTTTAAAAACAACAATGTTTTACAAACAAAATCCATTGAATGTTTCTGAACATATTGATCACAGATACTCAGCTAGGTTTCTATTGATTAGTCAACAAATACACATTAGTCGTACACTTGAAAGACTTCTCTCAACTAGATTCCCTCTTTTATCTTTTATGTTACAAACACCTTTAAATATTTAAAACTGGCAAATGAATTATTTGGAAATAATTACAAATGTAAATATGATATCCGTTTTTTTATGATACATATTCAATATTTTATCTCTAACAACAAAAAATATGTATGCACATTTTGGCAGGTCAGCGATTATGTTTTTGTTGTTTAATTTTTTTCGCTTTAAAGCAAATACGATTGTATCAAAAATCAAACAGTTGGAATCAGAAAAAAAAGTTGTTAGCCATACATTTATTGTAGCATTATGAGATATGAAATCAACACCAACACATTATGTTTTTGGTCACTCCTATTTTATCACAGAAATAATATTGAAAATAATATACTATAAACAGGATGATTCACCTAAAGTGTTACAATAGGTAACTTGTTAGGCGTTTACTTTACAAAGAACTTTAAATAAACAACTTCCCTGATTTTTTGTAACATTCTACGACATGTTCTTTTTCACTTAAAATGTTGCTTAATTTTTTCAATGGCAAACCCCACTTTTTATGATATTTTTGGATTTTACTTAAAATTTTAAGACATTTTTACTCTTGTCTTTTTTATATTCCTAACGGTTTTGGAGATATAGCCATAATAAGCCACGCATAACCAAGGATATTGTATTATTTCTTACAACAGCATATCAGTAAAGCGAAAGAAGAAGACAATAAGTTGATAGACAAATAATAATCAGCTTATCAATTGTTAATTTTGTTTTTTTAATAATTTAAAATTTCATGTTTATCGAACTGTTGGTTATGGTTTTGTGGTTATAATAAATTATTAATGCTCTCCTTTTATTTGAGTCAAAATGAATTTGGATAAAGAAGTTGACATATGATTAATATTTGACTAAGAATATGCATTGACCATGACGGTGGACACTTTGAACATTTATTATGAATGAAAATACATAATTGTATCAGTATGAATTAAGTGTAAATTATGTTTTGTAAATAGAGAAAATCATTATCGCTGTCATTGTTATAGCCATGGTAATGCGTGGCTTATTATGGCTGTATATCCGAAATTGTTAGGAGTAGGCTATCAAAAAAATTAGAAGAGTAAAAATTTCTTAAAATTTTATGTAGAATCCAAAAATATCATAAAAAGTGGGGAAAATTTTTGAAAATGGCGGCAAAATTTTTAATGAAAAATAGCATGTTGTAAAATGTTACAAAAAATAAGGGAAGTTGTTTGTTTAAAGTTCTCTGTAAAGCAAACTCCTATTACACCTATTATTATTAGGTAAACAAGTTACCAATTGTAATACTTTACGTGAATCACCCTGTATAATATTTAAGAAAGCATTGAACCTATTAAAAGTCTAAATTGGTATTTATACACTCACTAAACCCGAACAAAAGGAGATGTACGCCTCTATTTCAGATGAAAAGTCCAATTTGTCAGATATTGTGTTAGCAGCAGGATGAAATATTTTCAATCAATTCGACAAAGAAGTTATTTACGTTTCAGTAAAACCTGTTCGGATGATAAATATTTGAGTTGTGTATTGTTATTTCCTTGAAATTGTTCTGTTTTTGTTTATATATTTTAGTATTCTTTAAAAAAAATGTCTGTTTTTTGAGTTATTATGTAGTGATAGATTAGCTGTTCAATATGTTTCATTTGCAACAAGTAGATGTAATATAATCTTAAATATTTATGCATAGGGTAGACATATTTTTTTACCTTTTCACATGCAATCATAATCCCTCGTAAAATGTCAGAATGCTGTGTGTTCTTAAAACAAAAAAGAAGTTATTGCTTTTCAAATGTTCTGATGAGTGTAGTTACTATCAGATAGAATTTTCCGGGCTCAATTTTAAAATGCTTTACAACTTCAACCCTATAAGTTAATAGGCCATCCCCTTACCTTAAATAACACAATAAACATCTTGCACATTTTCACTATTGGGACGACCAATTTCAATATTTAGTGGTTTAACTTTTCTAGCGATCAATTTTGTAAGACTCAAACTTGAGGAAAAACCTGAAAATTATTTATCTTAAATTAAAACACTAAATTTGAAAGTTTCATAATATTTTATTATAATTAATTTTGATAGCACCAGGATTGTGTTTGATGACAAATAATAATGGCCAAACATACTTCAGACAATCCTTAACAATTAATCATTAAAAATTAATTAATTATTTGTCATATTTTATTACTCAAATATTTCATCAGTATTTGTACAAGTTTGTTGTTTTTTCATCACTATAGCCATTATCTTTTGGGTTTCAGGTCAAAAAGAAGGCGGAACTCAAATAAAACTAGTGATAGACTACGACAACAGTGAGCAGGCACTCTTCAAGCCAATGAGGTTTGTTTTAATTTTAACTCTACTCTGGTCATAAGTCTATAATACACATTTTTTTAATTTTAACCCTAAATTCTTTGTATGTAAAAAGACAATATATTGGATAATATTCGAAAATAAAAAGTAATCTTTATTATTGTTTTAAACTGTTGATGAATTGACAAAAGTGAGAACATTAGGCAGGCTGCCAACCTTCCACTTCCAGGCCAAAATCCTCTGAGAGTACTATCCCCATGATTGCCACCACTACGGCAAGAAACTTTCTTATCTATGTTTACAGTCTATGAACTCAATGAATTCCCATAGGTAACGAGCTAGTCTTTAGAATTGAACCATAAAGATTTATTGTTCTTATGTTTAGAGGTCTTTTTGAATATTGAATAATTATTTTGACTATTTTTTTAATTTAATCGAGACTTTAACTAAGATTCTGATAGAGTGAAATCTCTAAATTATTAATTTAGTTCAAGTAGATCAATTGAAATAAAAAAAAAATATATGTAGAATAAGCCAACTGTGGAAGTTTGCTTGTTTATGAATATACTTTGATCAAATTTGGCAAGTTTATTAATTTCATACAAAGCTATTAACTTTTCAATGAAAAACACCTTTATTACCTTTCCTGTGGCAGCAAACCTAAGTACTCGTTGAACTTAATGTTATTTAAAGGAAATATCAGACATGTTTGAGGAAATATTTAAGTGAAAATATAATTAGGCAAACTGAAACTCGCATAGTGTGTAGGTTTGCTGTGGCGGGGGTATTTAGGCTTTCTTTGTTGGTTTTATTTTATTTTAATTTATATTGTCCTACCTTTACATCCTTAGATGTTAGGTTCTAGCCAGAAACCATTTCATACATTTTCTTCACATTACTAAAGAGTCATGGCATCATTACATACCTAGCCATTTGATTAACCCAGGACCTGAGGGACTGATGACCTGCCTTCCAATCACATGTTTTATTTACAGCGTGGGGTGAAAATAGAGAAGTTTGCACAATACATACTTTTGGTCGATTTTTCGACCATGGGGCAAGCTCTAGTATTGTATATAAATTAAATATTTTTCAAAAAGGTGCTTTTCTAAATAAAAAAAATATTAACATTTTCCATTTTTTCTTTAAAATCTATTGGTTTTGCAGATTTCCAAGAGAGCAGCAGACTTTACCGAACCACTTTTACTTCACAGACTTCGAGAGACACACTGCGGAAATTGCAGCATTCCACTTGGACAGGTAAAAAAGTATTACATTGCAAAAGTGGATTGCTTTCCCAAAAAACTGTTTTTCCCAAATGGCAAATTTTCACTGTTGTCAGGCCTATGGTCAGCCCTCTAGGTTTGTACTGTACCGACATTTGCTAAAATGCCCACTAATTTAACACTAATCCAATGAATATAGAATTTTAAAACTTAATTCTTTTACCAAACACATTTTTTCTCTCAGCTCTCAGCTACCTAGATATTTAAACTGCTTTTGATATCATAACATGGACATTCTAGCCATGGGCGGTCGTAAGAGAAATTGTTAAGCAATAAAAGTTTGTAAAGACGAGGACAAAGGGGTCGTAGGACGAAGGCAGTAAAGTAAAGGAGGTATAAAGTGTCGTGGTCAGCCTGAGTGGGTGTGAATTTTTTAGACGCTTCAAGAAAAGCCAGACGTTGATAGCTCGGCTCCATGTCGTAAGTTATTTACTCAGCTCAACCCTTTATTCTCAGGATACTGTGTTTGGAAACTAATGCTCCTTTACAGGAAAATCTTTAAATTAATTTCTTATTTGTTTTATTCAATTAACATTCTTTTGAGTATGTTATGAAAATTATCCATGTGTTGGAATTTGCCATTTGTCTTCTCTTTATTAGGTTTAATAATTGAATATGGATCCGGTACCAACTGCTAGTGAATTTATCCAATTGTGAAATTTGAAGTCTCTTTTGATGTGTGTATAACGTCCAGTTAAAATTGGTTCTATTTAAAATTTAGTTGGGTACAAGTCCATACTCCAAACAAAACAGTAGACCTGCATTGCTGTAAAAACTGCAGGTTAAAAGTTGTTGCAACATTTGCAATTTTCCCATAAAATAATATTTTCAAAAAAACTTCTCAAAGGATTTTGATTAAAATTGAGTAAGTTATAGTCATTTTCCTACTAAACAAAATGGTACAACCCCTAATGCTGTAAAAATTATGGTTGAACAGTTATTGCAACTTTTGTGATTTTCCCTATAATATTATCATAGGTTCTCTCCCACTGCTTACCCCCTGATAATAGTTGTTGACTAGCTAATTTTGGAGAAAGTATGTCTCACTCTGCTGATACCATTTATTTTTTATTTTAGGATAAATTATCAGTACCTTTGGTTAAATTACTGGAAAACTAGCAATAATTCATAAACAGATCGTTTCACTTGGTTAAATAGTTTCAGAGCTAGTGGAATAATAAGAAACAAAGTGAAAACATGAAACCACACTCTACTTTAACTGAACAGAAACATGCCTTGCAAGGGCTATACTGCCTTTATGTGATCCATAAACAAAGAGTTAGAGTATTTTCAATCCATGGTTGGAATTTTGAAAACAGGAATGTTAAATATATAATATACATAAAACATGCAGTCTTTTTATTTCTAAGTATTATAGACTAAGTTCTAATTTTATATTCATGTCCTGAAATATATTTGTAGCTCAGTACAATAAATTTGATATCACAATTGGCAACCACTCCGTATAAAGTAGATAGAACAATATTAGGGTTGAGAAGTGTTTTCGATTAGAGTGGGATTAAAAAGGACAGTTGGCAAAACTGAATTAGGTGAGGGATAATTTGTCTTAATGGAAGAAACGCTGACCTCCCTGGGTAACCAATCAAGCAGGCTGTCCAACCTTGATTAACTGAGTGACTCTTGCCAACCCGATAGAATTATAAATCCCTTGAGTTTTACTTTTCACCTTTGGTGGGGAAAATTCTATGTTGAAGATCAGGTATTTCCACAAAATAGTAAATGCTTTAGATTGAAGATGTTTTTGTTTATAAGATTATTTCTACCTTTGGTCAAGATGGTGGGTAGATTTGACGAAAACTGTTTTAAATACTTACAGTTGGGGTCTCATTGTTGGAATGGTTATAAATTAATAATAAACCATCTATCCTGTCACAACTTTCCAAAGTTTTGTAAAATTTTCCATTCACAAATAGGGTACTATGTTTAAATTTTATCAACCACTATTTTCAGATGATCGAGTGTGAAAATATTTGCAGTAACAACTCTCAACCTAAGTCAGACAGACAGACATATCGAAGTTATGAAAACAAAAAGCAGTACAGTAGACTCCCTCTTATCCGGACTCCTCGGGACCGAGGCCAGTCCGGATAACGGTTTTTCCGGTTAAGCCGACGTCCCCAAAAACTCATTAAAATGGACCGTTTACGGTGATATTCGACTTAAATTTAGGAGAGCATTGTATTTAGACATGTGATAACTGGTTTCAAATCTTTCCTACGAGAATAGTCGTTACAGTACCGCACACTTCCTGCCGATCTAGTCCGGTTAAACCAATGTGCCGATAATAATTGTTCGGTTAAAGAGATGTCATTTCCGTCGACTGTAGTCCGGTTAAACCGATGTCCGGTTAACAGGTGTCCGGATGAGAGGGAGTCTACTGTATTTTGATTTGTACTTCCTATAGTACTATTGAGTTCAAAGATTTTAGCACTACAGTACTGATTTGTCTAGAACACCATTGAGTTATTATTTATTTATTCACTCAAGACCAAAGCAACAAACGTTTGTTTTAGCACTAAACTGCATGAGCATTATAAAAGGCTTGTCTGCAGTATTTCTTGATTTTTCTTATGTATTTTAATTTCAGGTAGTCATATTGTTAGTTTTATATCTTAAAACAGTAACAAAGCTTGAACCAACTGCATTCTTATGCAATTATTTGTCCTATAAAACTATTAATAAATATTAATGTTTACTTTCTGGCATTCCTATAAATTAGTTGTGAAATTTGCTACGTTTTTGTCAACTCAGTGATATCTTCAGGCTTTTACTTCAGGCTTTTTTTTTCTTCAGTGATTCTTCAGCTTCTTCATAAGTATTAAAATAAAACGGCGTTCACACACAATTTACACACAAAAATACAATTAACAAATAACTGGTATTGTCGTCGCGGTGGCCACATCTCACAAAGCAGGAGAATTAATCATGTTAATTCTGGCAAAAACTCCTACGATATTGGATATTCCGTTTTTTTTTCTTTGGGTGAATTGTGTGTAATGACTGATTTATTTTAATATTTATAACAAAAGCCATGGTGGATGCCTGATATGAAAAAACATGTTGCAAATTAGTAGCGAATAAGAACGCAAGAAGGTAAACATTAATATTTGACATTCCAGTAGTAGGAAATTAATTCTAGAACACTATTGGGATTTCTCCTATAAATTGATCTAGTACATTAAAATCGCAATAGTGACTTGAAATTTATCCTAGACCAACATTATTAAGATGCCTCCAAAAACAATATTGAGAGTCTTCTTAGAACACAGTGGAGATTCTTACTTGATCATCATTTTAACAGCTTTGTTACAGACTAGATTCAAGATTCAGCTGTTTTTTTCATTTAAAGCTACGCGCACACTACGGCAGCATGGCAATTTTTAAAATAAATAACAATGAATGTAATATGAGTGCGCCCACTATGGCGAGACGACCAACAACAGATGATCGGCAGCTTAGGCCATTTGTTAAAAAGTCCGAGAGACAGAACTCTAGGACATTTCCGAGCTGACGTACCAGCCGTACTGACCAGGCGGGTGGCACAGGACTTCCGCCATTCTCCACTGGTCTCATGGTCTCCGTCAAAGTCGGGCTCACAGTTTTAGCTCGCAGACTATCCTAAATCGTGGATGTACGGTTGTCACCCGTCCGTCCGTGCCGTGCCGCCCTAGTGCGCGCTTAGCTTTAGAGCACTATTGAAACTCATTAGGACATTTAAGAGATTTGTCCTAAACCACTAATGACACTGATCTATGTTTGCAGACTACTAGGGTTCCGCAGAGCAATGCCAGTGACAGGGCGAACTCTCAACATGACCACGGAGATTTACGATATCGCCGATGGAGAACTGCTGAAAACCTTCTTCATTTCTCCGTCAAACAACATGTGCTTCCATGGCAGGTTTGTGGATCAAATCATTTTTTTGTCGTGCCACAGAGATGTACAGAGAAAACGTTCAATTGTACATTTAAGTGTGTCTAGTGCACATTTTAGTGGTGTTCTAGTCGCTGGTGTCCAAGCTCAATTTTAACACCACCCCCTCGCCCTCATGAACTACATTGCTCACGGTGGAGGAAGACCCTGTGCGGTAGGACTGTTCTGGCTCTTCCTTGCTTGTCTCAAGTATATTTCCAGGTTGTTCTGAAAGCGTGTTTCCTCAGTACCTTATTTTTTGTATTATTTGTGTACATTCTTGTCTAGCTCATTCTTTATTTCCCCTATAGTATTGGACTAAGTATAGCAATAAGATTTTTTTACGAGTCCGTTTTTTAAGTAAGGGCTGGTTTTACGGATAAATCCGTAGTTTGCTTGTAAGCCGCAACGAGGCTCCTCACCACTTACTGACATAATTTGTGAACAGAATGTCACAAATTGCAGCACTGTAGCTGTCATGTACGCTTCGCTGTGTGTTTGAAAAAATGTTTAACCACAAATCTCCACTTCCAATGTAAGGTCAGTGATACGATTTTTGATTACATGAAATATATCCGAAGCTGAAATTTATTGCCAGATGACTGGACTTTATGACTGATGCATTGATACCATAGAAAGTGCAGAAATAGGCAGGGAGTTTAAAAAATTAAGGCTGTGAAAATGTTAATTTCAGAAGGAATTATGTTTTCGATGGGTAACCAGACTTCTAACAGAAGGCCACAAATGAAATGTGATTTCACAGCCATTTTTACACTTTATAACCCACTTCTGTATTTACTCTCACTCATTGCATTAGGTTAATAGTTTTCATTCATCTGGCACTGAAATGAAATGAAATATGTTTATTTATCCCAATGTTATTACATAAAGATAAAGATAAATAAAAACAGAGAATTTCAGCATCGGATATGTTTATTGTAATAAAAAAACTAACCTTACCTCAGACGCAACGGGAGATTTGATGGTTTAAAATTGTTTCTAAACACACAGTGAAGCATACATGACAGCTACAAAAGAGCTGCGATTTGTGTCATTCTGTTCAAAAATTATTTATTTAGGACCTCAGTAAGAGGTGAGGAGCCTTGTTGGCGAACTACGTATTTATACGCAAAATCAATCCTTACTTAAAAACCCCCATACTCTGAACTGGTGTAATAAGGGTAAACTATTCTTAATTGGAGTTCCCTTTCAAAATATGGTAAAAAAGATATTTTAAAAACTTTACTATGGAAAATTGTTTTCAGATGTTCGTACTACTGTGACACAAGCCACGCGGTGTGTGGCAACCCTGATATGTTGGAGGGGAGTTTTGCAGCTTTTCTCCCTCCAAAAGAGACGGCCCCTCGCAAGATCTGGAGGCATCCTTGGAGAAGGAGCTACCACAAGCGGCGGAAAGCCCAGTGGGAACAAGGTGGAACTTTATTGACCTAAAATATTAACAACTTTCAATTAAATGTCCTTTTATTAATTATTTCCTACTTCTCAACTTTTCTCATCTGTTGCAAAAGCTCTGTGAGTTAGTGGCTCAGTCAAGAGCACCAGGTACCTTCCTTGGGTTTGCCTCTCTTTACCAGATCTAGAACTTATCAGTACAGTTCAATATTGTACTGTACAGATATTTTGCTTTGCTGTTCATATGCTTCATATGTTCACCAACTTGCTTAAGTCCAGCATATACTTAGTAAACCCAATTTACTGTTTTTTTTTGAGTAGAGTACATCCTTCAATTAAAACCTTGTTTGTACATTTTCTTACTATTAGAGGCGTTTACAGATGGCTTACCTACTTTTAATTTCCGTTACAGAGTCAGACTACTGCAACCTGGTGAAGGAGATCGCACCATACGACCGTGGGCCGAGGCTCTACGACATCATGGACATGGCGGTCCTTGACTTCCTGATGGGCAACATGGACCGTCATCATTACGAGACATTCCGAGCGTTTGACAACGACACCTTTCCCCTCCACCTGGACCACGGTCGAGGTTTCGGTCGACCTTTCCACGACGAACTGAGCATTCTTGCCCCACTCCTGCAGTGTTGTATGATACGAGATACGACGCTGGCGACGTTACTGAAGTGAGTGGGATTTGGTGTTTGTGTGACAAATGTTGTAAAGGTTGGATGACATACAGTAACAATGGTTCTGTCTCCCGTATATTGATGAGTAAAGTTGAGCATTGATTATCCTGACTAATTGATGCCTTTAAACCATCAGTGGGGGAAGCCCCTGATGCTACTTGACCTGTTTAATTTGTGCTCCTCAGTTTTTTAGAATTTCAACCCGGAAATTATTTGTTTTATGAGTTGTGTCTAGTATGTAAATATTCAGTTTTAATTTTTGTTCAAAATTCGGGAACCAGTTTTTTACTTTAAATAACTGGTTGTAAATTACAAAAGCTTTTCTAGAATAAATTCAAGTTTCACCAGATATTTGTGCTAAGATTAGTCAAGAGATAAGACGGCAGCGCTGATAAGACGGCAGCGCTGATAAGACGGCAGCGCTGATAAGACGGCAGCGCAGGAGCTGACCTTTGGAGTGGACATGTGGATGAGCTTCTACACAAGTCAGGTTGTTTGTTTACCTATCACCTGATGTCTGACCCATATAGATAAGACAATCTTGGACTCTGGCTAAACTTCTTATGAGCAAATATCACAAAGGAAACAAAACAATTAATTACTTTTTGTACAGTGAATTGAGCTTAAAAATAAAATTTATATATTTATGTTTTAACAAAAAATTATATAATCATGTTATCCAATTCTCAAGCTGATTTAAACAATAAGAACCCAAACTTACCTAGAGGTTGGGTAAGAGAAGAAAAGCTGAGAAAAAATGGTTTGAGCAAGGGTAAAACTGATGTTTACATTAAGTCACCAGGTGGCAAACTATTCCGTTCTAAAAAAGAGCTAGATAAATACATTAAGGAGAAAGGGCTCCCACTTAAAATTGAAGATTTTAATTTTACCTCAAGAAAAAACAATAGTAATGATTTGTCATTTTCAAGTAGCAATGAATCTTTCAGCCATGAATCGTTAAATTCTTCTGTCTCAACAAAAGTATATGAAACCATGAGTACTCAAACAGATCACATACCTGAACCTAAGCTTGTAACATCAATAGAAACACAAACCGATCCCACTTCAGTTAAGAAAATGAAATTCACTGTTGAACTCTTGGAAAAACATTGGTTGACTGATTTAACAATACAGTCTTACCTAGAAATAATCAGTGACAGATTTTTGGCCTCTAAGTCATGCATTGTTGTAAATCCTCTTATTGTGCATGCTATTAAAAATCTTGTTGATTTTATCTATATATTAGAACCATTAAATGTGAAAACAAGCAATGTTTTGATATTGCCAGTAAATGATTCTGAAAGCTTGGATGGAGATAGTGGTACCCATTGGAGCTGCCTGATATATAATAAGATTGGCAATACTTATTACCATCTTGACTCACTCAACCATCACAATCTACCTTCAGCTAAGAAACTTGTTACCAAACTTTCTAGCTACCTAGGAGGGGAATCATTAACAGCACCTCTCATTCCGGTGAAATGTCCACTACAGCCCAACACCTATGACTGTGGTGTTTTCACGTGTTGGTTCATTGAATCAGTAATACAGGACATAATGGATAATAAACCTGTTGATATTGATTTCTTTCAGAGAGTGTCCCTATCTAACTCGGAGTTGACAAAGATTCGTTGTCTTATGGCATATTTTTTGCTTAACAATCACAGTGTTAGTAATGCCACATTTTATTCTGTTATGATTGAAAAGTCAGAAAAATGCACCAGTCCAGCGACAATGAACAAGGATGATTCCAAGGAGCAGTCATGGAATTTGGTCACACATAAAAATACAAGGCAAACTCAACACATTAATCTGGACAAAACGAATAATCCAAATAAATGCTTTGATTTACCCCTGAATAACAGTTTTGGTCCATTGAGCAGCCAAAGTGAGGGGGACAAGACTGTTGCCCAAACCATGAAAGCTACTGACGATACTCAGAAAAAACAAAAACACCCAACAAACTGTAAAAAACTTGCAGGAAAACCAAAGATAAGAAAAATTTGTAAAAGTAAAGTAAATCTAGTCATTCACTCGGATAGCCAAGGTAGAAACTTGGCAAAACAAATTAACCTAATGAGTGAAGGGAAAATTAACTGCTTAGGAATTGTAAAACCTAATGCAAGACTAGTATCCATTCTTGACGGTGCTAACAACAATGAAAAAACTCCAATTTTGATTATTGGTGGTACAAATGATTCTCTTCAGTGCAGTACAAAGGATCTTTATAAGACTATAGAGGAAAAATTGAAGACACTGTCATATAAAGAACACATATTTTTGGCTACCATACCTCCAAGATTTGATATACCTAGAAACAGTCCAGTCCATGATGAATTGATCACCCTAAACCACCACATTAACGAGTTAAGCTCACGCATCCCCAATGTACACATCATCAACTTAAACCCTTTAAGAAAACACAACTTTACACGACACGGGCTTCATTTCAACTATAAAGGGAAGCAGACTATTTCAAAAGCAGTAATTGAGCAATATGAACAAATAGTGTTTGGAAGAAAAGGGACTGTAGAAATTAAAGCACCAGCCCTCAACTCTTTATCGATGTTTCCACCACTCCCTACCAAAGACAAAGCAAATAAAATTGAAGAATCTAATTCACTCCCGATTACCATAATTCAAACAAACATGAAGAACCTTATAAATCAATTTCGCAGTGCTAGTTCAGTTGGTTTTGCTCATACAATTTCAGCTGATATTGAACACAAAAGGAGCTTAAGTGCCGGTGTAGCAGTCACATTTAAGAATGAATTTGGTAAACCACAACCTACGGATTGCATCAGTAGTCATTTGGCCTACCAGAAGATAAATAATGGTGCTAGTATCTTCAGCTTAGTGACCAAACCAAGATTTTATCTAAAACCCTCTCAACTTGACTACGATAAAGCATTCGAACAGTTAACCGAAGAATTTAAAAGAAGAAAACTGAAAAGACTTATTTGCTCTGCAATGGGCTGTGTTAGGGACCAGATATGGCCCAACCACTTTATTACAAACTTGGTCAATTTTCAAAAGAGCACGGGAGCACTAGTGAATATTATTTGCTATTACCAAAAAGCAGACCGCCCTTTACACAATGGTGTTCCATTCAACTACTTTGTAAAACGCCTGCAGCAGATGATTAACAACCACCATCTACAGACTTCAACGACTGTTAATTTGGTTCTGCGGAGGTCTAACTGTTTGATGAAAGCATCCTTTGATCAACATAATACTACCCAGCTCTCTCAAGTACCAACGGACGTCTCTCAAGCCAAAGAGGAAACTCAAGTCATCGACCTGAGTCAGACCCTGAAGACATGTCATAATCTCTCCACAGTGTCCAGTGAGGGGGGTGATGAAGTCAGTAGTGGTGGGGGTGATGTGTCCAGTGTGGAAGGAGCTGAAGACACCGATGGTCATCAACTGAACCTTGTCACTACACAAAGTCAATTGTCCCCTTCAGCAAACCTTCCTGATAACTGTACTAGTGCTAGTGTTACGTTAAATAAAGATTCCACATCCTCTGATTTTTTAGAAAAAATGCAACATTTATCACTTCCAGTTTAAAAAACACATTGAAAAATAATCAACAGGGTGAAGTTTTCAACAAAAAATGTTCAAAAAATCTTACTCAAGGGGGAAAAACATTAACAAAAGATTACTGGTTCCTGCATTTGAATATACAGGGTTTCATAAATAACTATGAGGATTTGGAGTTTTTTGTGAATAACTGTGGCAAAAACGTTAAAATAATGTCACTGAACGAGCATTGGCTTAATCAAAATAATATAGCTTTTCTAAATAAGATAGACAAATTTAGAGTTTGTGACTTTTTTTGCAGGATTGATAAAGCTAGAGGAGGATCAGCACTTTTAGTTTCTGATGACATCCAATTTAAAGTTAGGAATGATTTAAAATTTCTTAATGAAGCAAATAGTTTTGAAGGTAGTTTTGTGGAAGTGACTCAATGGAAAACATTGTTTATTTCTATATATCGTATTCCAAACTTGGAGATGGATAACATTTTTCTACATAAATTTGATCAGTTATTGAATAAACTAAATCTTGAAATTAAATCTAAAAATATTTTGATTGCTATGGATCACAATATGGATTTTTTGAAAAACAGTAATAGATCACAAAAGTTAAAATCTCTCAGTGAACAATATGGTTTTAAGTTTCACTTTGATGCCCCAACGAAAATCACTCCAAAAACAAAATCTTGTATTGACAATATATTTTCAAATATGAAATTAATGACTAAAAAAGCAGAAACAATAGTAAGTAGTGCTGGGGTTTCTGATCATGAAGCCTTATTAATTTCTCTATCGGAATTGACATCAGATTTTGTAAACCCTTCTAAATCAACGGTAATATTTCAAAGAAACTTTTGTCAGGAAAATTTAGAATATTTTAGAAAATGTTTAATTTTATCGCCATGTTGCTTTAATCCTCTAGTTGATGTAAATACAAACTATAAAAGCTTCCTGTCTAATCTTTTGTTAAATTTTAATCAGGCCATACCACTAAAACCTAACAAATTGTCAAATAAACCATTAAACAAAAAATGGGTAACACTAGGTATTAAAATATCAGCAATTAGAAAACGAGAACTTCATTGGGAGTCAAAGTGGAACAAGAATCCGTTTTTTATTGAGTATTTTAAAAATTACAAAAAAATATTTAAGTCAGTGACCAATCTTTCCAAAAGAAGGACAAACGAAGATTATATTAAAAACTCAAATTGTAAGACCAAAGCTTCTTGGGCAGTTGTAAAGAAGGAGTTGGGCCACAATAAACTAAATAATGAGATACCATATAATGTTCAGAGCAGCCTGAAAAATAACTGCCAATCTTTGAAGACTCTGGCAAATGATTTTAATCATCATTTTTTGAACTTAAGTAATTCAGCAGCAGTAGCTCCGAATAAGAACAAAGCATTGATGTTCATGGTTAGTAACTTAGCAAAGATTGATGAGCCTTTTAAGTTTAAAAAAATTAAAATATCTGATTTGAGAAAAATTGTTTATTCATTGAAAAATACTAAATCTGCAGGATGGGATGAAATCCCCCTATTTGTAATAAAATATGTGATTGATTTGATTCAAGAATCCTTGTGCAAAATAATAAACCAGTCCCTAGAATGTGGAGTTTTCCCTGAAAAACTCAAATTTTCTGTGATCAAGCCTCTTTATAAAAGAAATTGTGTTAATGATTTGAAGAATTATCGTCCAGTAGCTTTACTTCCGTGCTTTTCTAAGATATTTGAGAAGGCAGTTGAACTACAATTAAAAAATTATATGGAAAACAATAATATATTTAATATATCACAATTTGGTTTTAGAAAAGGACTTAATACCCAAACATCAATAACACAAATGGTTAATCATATAGCTGGGGCGCTGGATGGGTCGCAGAAGGCTGCGGGTGTGCTGTGCGACCTATCCAGCGCTTTTGACTGTGTTAACCATGACATTTTAATTGAAAAGCTAGGCAAAATTGGAGTTATAGGAAAAGAGCAACTGTGGTTTTCTTCCTATTTAACTAATAGATACCAGAGAACTAAAATCAGCAAAAATGGTCAACAAGTAAATTCATCTTGGGATAAAGTGCAATGTGGTGTGCCACAGGGGTCAATATTGGGTCCCTCTTTGTTTTTAATCTATGTAAATGATCTGCCAAATATAACAAAGATGAAACTTTTTCAATATGCAGATGACACAATGCTTTTGTGTAGAGGACCCACTATTGACGTCCTGCAGACTAGCATAGACAAAGAATTCTCTGCTCTGGGTAACTGGTTCCGGGCAAATGGTCTGGCCCTAAATGTGGAAAAAACCCAAATTATAAACTTTTCAGCTAACTACAGGGAAGATGATTCAAATCACATTATCCTTTCAAATCATCAATTATCTCCACAACAAAATGTAAAATTCCTTGGATTAATTTTGAATAAAAATCTTAACTGGGCATCTCAAATTGAAAATTTAAGTAAAAAATTAGACCCTTGCATTTTCTCAATAAGAATAATCTCACAAGTAACGAATCTAGAAACCCAGCTAATAATATATCATGCATATTTCTCATCATTAATGACATATGGTATCTTGATCTGGGGTAACTCTCCTCATTCAAAAAAAATTTTTAAATTACAAAAAAAAGTAATACGAATTATTGGCAAAGTTCCCTCTAGAACCCCTAGTAAAAAACTGTTTCAAAACTTTAAAGTTCTTACTTTTTACGATCACTATATTTTGGAAATAGCATGCTGGGTCCATAGAAACCTCTCTACTTTTATGGAGACCCAAACTCAACATAATTACAATACAAGAAAAAAGAATATTATCAAACCTGTAGCTCATAATTTACAAATATTCGAGTCATCACCACAATACATTGGTCCAAAAATCTTAAATAACTTACCAACAAGTTTAATTACTCTAGAAAATCCCTATAAGTTTAGACTTTATTTAAAAGAATGGCTCAAGACTAAATCTTTTTTTTCATTGGCAGATTATTTTAAGGGCTGCTGGAATTAGGTATAAGTAAACCTTCACACTCCTGCTGGCTCAATTTTTTTGTCATGTAACAATGTTGTATTTTGGAAAGATTCAGTTGTTTTATGTAAATACAGATGTATTAGTTTTATCTATTAGTTTTAAGTCTTTATTTAACCATTGACAATATATCCTGTTATTATAATGTAATGACATGTAACTCAATAAATAAATAAATAAATAAATAAAAAGCTCCAAAAAGCTTTGATTGGGCTTGCTCAAAAAGACCACAGAGAGGGTTGGAATTTTCTCAAGATAAAACAACAAAAATTGGATTATCCACCAACTTGTCTGAATACTTTAAATACCATACTTGTGGCTTAAGGTTACTGACAAAAGATATCGGACCAAAGTGGGTATGCTTTGTAATGCCAAGGGAGATAAAATGAGCTCCACAGAGGTAAAACCTTAACTTTGAATATAATAACAACGTGCACAAGAACATCAAAACCACATTTGAAGGATGTTGCAAATATTAAATGAAAATGCGGGTAAACAGTATTTAGATAGCTTATACACTAGTGTTAAATTTGGGGGATTCAAAACATAAACAATATTCAGAATATTGGACACGTTTACTTTCAACCTAAACCTCTACTACCGTTGTTGATACTAAGCACTGAAAATTAATTACTGAGTTATAAAACAAACATTTGCAAAACAGTTAAGTCTAAAACATTTTACAATTAAGTAAAAAATAGTAGTAAAAGAGATTTAAAAAGGATCAAAATATTATATCTTAACTGTTAATGGTGTTAATTAATTTAAACATATTTATCGTCTGTCAAATTTCCCAATAAGTTTACAGAAAGATTGTTACAAATCATGTTCATAAACAATTAGTAGTCTTTTAAACTTCTATTTTTATTTTACTATTTTATAAGTCAACCTAAGTCTAATGTCACAAATATGTTGAATATGTGGTTAGACAACTAGATTAACTGAAAATCTGCCAATGTATTGTCTTCCGCCTTCCGCCATATTAAGTGGAGTTAGAAAGCACACGGACTCTAGCAGAGTAAGAGTCCACTATATGGGGCTGAAATATTAACTGACCACACATTGAGGCAAGACTCATTTGCTTGTCTGCATAATTTACAATACCTCTCAGTCTCACTGGTCAGTGTTACTAATGCAAACGCCTCCGAATTCACTCTTTGCATATTTTACCTCAGGTTTTCCGTACAAATTTAATGAATTAAATTTTTTTTTGTTAGTTGTATATTTTATAGGGAACGGTGCAAACCCTATGTCTTTGTGAGAGAACAATCAAAACCCTGATGAATTGAATTGAATTGAATGATGTTGCTATGTATTGTCAAGCTGTCAAGTATCAATACTGTCATTGATTAATGAAAGATAGCTACTACTTGATCCAGAACACATGTTTCTCAGGATTGATCCAGAAACCTTCAGGTACAGAAGGAGACCTAAATACACTGGGCTACCCATTCGGTTAAACATAGGTTAAATAAACCCTGAAAAGAAGCCTTTTACAGATATCATTCAACACCACAAGAGTGTTAAAATGCAAAAATCTGTTTTGCAAAGAGTAGGGTCACAAGCCACAGTAAAGTAATCTTTCCGACATGTCCAACATTTTTAATTGATCAATACACACAATATTTATATTAAGTTTCTACACGATTGGAAAAAACAGTGATAAAAAAAAGATTGTTTTAACAAATTGTAGTTCATTAAGGCTAATAGCTCCTCTCAATCTAGAAATATTAGAAAATCAAAATATAGCACTGAATGTAACCACATTAATGCTCGCAGGTACCACAACGGGCCGGTTACGCTGAGTGAGGCAATGCGAACAGCAATGCTGCGAGACCCAGTGAACCCAGTGTTGTGGGAGCCTCATCTTACAGCACTAGACCGCCGGGTCGTCATCATCCTCAAGGCTGTGCGAGACTGTGTAGAATCTGCCAGAGAGATGGCCAACGGAGCAGACGAAGAAAGCGCACCTGCGGAATCCTAGCATCGCAAAACTCGGATAAACACTTCTGCATCATGAGCAGCCCCAGTAGAATGGAAATTGTGAATTTTCATTCAAAAAGTCCACTGGGAAAACGTTTAGATTTTCCAACATGGAATTTCAGCAGTTACGGCGTAACAATAATGATTAGCTTTTTACTTCCTATCAGTGGACCTCAAGATTGACTGGGTGTTTGTAAGTTGGACTAAAACTGCGGTCGTTAACATGTGATAAAATGGGTTATGATTTATGTGACTAAGTTTTACGTCAGAGGTTTGCTTTGTAATTTATTTAAGTCACGGAACCAAGGTCTAAGGTAAAATATTTGGCAGCTTCATTGCTGAGTTTGACAAGCTTTAGCTGGACTAGCAACGTTTTTCTAAATAAGAGTCTTTCTTTAACTAAAATGTGTTGGTTCTAGCACCATTGGATAAATCCCTGCAAAAGAGTTGGATTTCTCTACCATAATACCTTTCAGTTTGTAAATATTCAATGACTGAAATGTTACGGTTGAATACAAAATATTTTCAGAGCCTGAATGATATTACAATCGTGTCTCAGAATAAGTGACTTTATTATAGTAATGTAATATACTATTGCATCAATAGTCATTATTCCAAATTACATAGTAAAATAAAGATAGGCTACTTTTTTACGGTTATACGTGACAACTTGGTTGTTAGCCAAGATCGGATTACACAACTAACATTCCATTTGCTGAATCTAGATTTAAATGTCTTTCCTTGTAAAGCCCTTCAATTGTCAGGAAAAAATAAATTTTTTTTAAATAGGAAAACCATTCGCTATCTGTCATCAAAACAAATGAAAATACACTTACTCAACAAATAATTAAAGTTATTGAATCATTGCCAAATCATAGTAGAACTCCAACTATATGCATCAATTGGGACCGTCACCCAATTGGATGGTAAAGAAAACAATTCTGATAGTTTTTATTTTTACTGAAATTTGGTATATTTTACAGAAAATAGGCTGGGTCAAACTGAGCTTTACAATTGTGTTCGTAGATCACATCTACAAAGATTCATCCAACAAAAATTCTCGTTTCGCTCCGATTGCGAAGGGTGACTGATTTTCCCTAACAGGGATGTATGTCTCCAAGACCGAGGAATATATTGAAGATTTTGCTCAAATAGTTTCCATGACCGCAGGAGACTATGATGATGTCTACACGATTCTGGGGTATATTTTAAATTTAGTCACAATTAGAACACGATGATGACATTTTGCGTGACTGCGGGGGACGATGATTATGTCTACACAAGAGTGTTTTGATTTTGCCGCGATCACGGCTTCTACCTCCTTTAACAACGATTTTCATAACAAACTGTGGTTTTAATTTTTTTTATTCTTTCTGTAAGCGATTTGAATGATCAGCGATTTGGATAGTTGGTGTTTGTGTTATTGGAGTTCTACTATGCAGCCAAAATGAGCTTTTAGAATCTATCTCAATACAATACTTTTAAACCAATCCATCCCCTTTGTATCAAAAAACTCAAATCCTCCCGCCAAATTTTTTTCATAATTATTATAATTAAAAGGAAGGCTGGTTTTTCATACAGTTATTTTGGAAGAACTCGCTGATTGTTAAGTGTAAGTATCCTTTTCCTAGCACAAAAATACTTTAATTTTTGCATTTTCAAAGTTGCCTTATATATACTGTGGAGTTTTCAAGTAAAATGTTTGTACTTTAACTGTAATAACATTTATGAAACTTTTACCTATGGATAAAATTTATTTTCAAACTATTTCAAGTTCATAATTTATATTCTGTTAAATTTCTTACTTGCTTATACATACTACTATCAGTTTGATTTTTTTATTTATTTTACAACTATATTATTCACAATCAATTCAGCACAATCAAATATTTTTTGTTTACTGGTTTTAGGATACGACTACCACATATCATTAATGCTAAGACTGTATATTCTAAGTATGTTAGTAGTAGAATATTTATTAAGCTGTTAACGGGGTTGTATGTTACTGAAAGTTGTTACTTGTTAAATTTAGTGATGTGCGTATCGATACAAGGACCGCAAAATATCGATATTTTGTATCGATACGTGGGAGTGTATCGTTATGCCCGTATCGATACACCTATAGCCAATATCGTATTGCTTATTTATTGATATAAATCTTATTTTTATGGTAAGAAATTTGTCTTCCCATCTTCCTCCCCTCAAAAGAAGTATTGGAAATTTGATATTTTACCCTAATCTTCAAAAACACTGATAAAACATGTATTTTCAGCTATGTATTGCAAATAACCTCAAAACTAGGGCCACCATTAATGGAAGTGGGGACCCTCATTGTCCATCTTTATACTATTTAATGTGTAAGTGGCATACCCACCATCATTATTAGTACTTTTTGGTCCAATTAATTATCCCTGTGTAAAAACTAGGAAAACAATAACAAAATGTTTTCCAATTTGAGGGTTTACCGGAATTTGGAGGCTATGTATGTATGTTTGATACTGTACAAATAAAAAGACACAGGAAGGTCTTATAATATAATAAGTTATTAATAACCTATTACCTGTATAACCCTCTTTACAAGCTTGTAAGTAACATAGTATTTGTCTATGCAGCTTGTATATTTGAGATATTTAATTTTTTTATATAAATTATAAATAAACAATACGATAGGATATTTTATCCGATACAGATAAAAATCGATACATGAGGATACGATACGATACACGTATCGATACACCACGTTCCGATACGTATCAATACGCAGTATCGATACATTGACCCGTATCGCCCATCACTAGTTAAATTTATATCAATAAGGATTATTGTGTGATGTGTTTTGTACTAATTATGGCAACTATTTTCAGACTAAGCTATGGTGTATTTTACGTAGTGAATATTTTAAAGATGTAGACAAATTGTAAAACCACGCTGTCTTAAAACTAAACAATGTTGAACTATTTTTGTTGACAGTTTTGATCAGCTATATTATTTTGTGCAACCTCTTGGTGTGCTTTTGAAGGTACAGTAGATCCTCTTTAATCCGAACTAATTGGGACCGGGGGTAGTTTGGACTTTTGAATACTTCAGATTACAGAACATATTGTTGTCTTTACATAACAATAGCTAAAACAAGGCTAAAATGAATCGTAATTGTTACGAGAAAAGTTAAAAAAATGCTTTATAAAGTAAAATACAGTGTAAGTTTAATACAGTAGTAAACATAGTGAATAAACAGTACTGTACATTAAATACAGTATACAATATAGAACTACTGTACTGTGTATAAAGTACAGAAATGAGGTGTTCGGATTAGTGGACGTTCAGACTACGGGGGTTCGGATTAAAGAGGTTCTACTGTATAATGTTGGTTAGTAATATGAAAAGTGTAATAAATTTAAAGTTTTTTTTAATTTTTGTTGTTAGTATTTAAAATGCACATTTTAAGACAGTCGGATAGTCATTTTATAGTCAATCACAATCGTTTCGTCCTGATTTTAACTGTAATGACCAGTTTTTTTTTTGTATTTTTATGATACTATATTATTAACAAAACTTGGGTGTTTTTTGCAACTTAATCCAATTATTAACCTTAAACCTTTAAATTGTTCCTTACATTTTATATCCTGTTGTAAGGCAGTCTATAGAATGATTTTCAAGTTCAAAAGTTTTAACACAAAGGTTTCATCAAGTAAATTTCAGCTATGTTCACGTTTTAAGCTTATAACAAAAACATTATGTTGTTTACAAACTAATCTATTATTTAAATAACATTGAAATGTAAAATTGTATTTAGAATTAAGTTTAGCTACATCTTTAGTATGAAAATGCTTAACAGAATCCAGTTTTAAATAGTTAAAAGAAGCACCATTGGTTACCAACCCTAATAGACCTGACTGAGCATACATTTTTTCAAACTTTTTTTATAAAAAGTGAAAGTGAAATATTTTTGTTTCAACTCAGTCACGTCTGTGGGTAGATCTCCCAGCCGTGCCATTGTTACCTTATATTGTAAATAACTCGATGTAAATATTGTAACTCTAGTCATAATGGCCAATTTGTACAGAATCGAATATAAAATTTAAATAAAGGTTACTTTTTCAATAAGTTTGTATAGCCTATTCATTCCCAGGTATTTTAAATGGCCTTATTTTTTACAGCTAGTGCCAAAATCACATTACCAACAACATAAAACCCATGGAAAAAAACATTCTAGTGTTCAAAGACAGCTGGATCTAGTTATGAACCACATTATCACTTAACTATTGCATTTTCTCAGGATTGGACCAGTGACCATATAAAAATAAGGCAAGAACCATAACCACTTGTCTACCTAGCAGCCCAAATGCATATGTTACACAGGGTGCAGCAACATAATTTAATTTTTCAAAGAATGAATGAAACACTTTGTATGAATGAAAAAATGTTTTATTTGTTGTTTATTAGGTTGAGTTATACATTTAAATCATTTGAATAGTATTGTAATTTTTAGAACACAGTACAACTCCGATTCTGGTTTTGATTTAACATAGTATGTTAGAGTCCTTACATTTTTGATAGTTTTTTTTTTAATTTTTTAGAAATTTTTCTTTTTAATGGGGATTTTCCCATAAAACCCCATAAAATAACGGAAAAATAGGATTTTCCCAAAAATGGCCCGAACGATTTTGATAAAAATTTAGTATGTTATTATAGTCCTTTATATTCTGAACAAAATGGTACAAATCCCATTTCTGTAAAAATTACGGTTCAAAAGTTATTGTAAGTTATGTCATTTTCCCATAAAACCCCCATAAAATAACAGAAAAATCGGATTTTCCCAAAAATGGCCCGAAAGAATTTGATAAAAATTTAGCATGTTATAGTCCTTTAAATTCTGAACAAAATTGTACAAATCACATTTCCGTATATTTACTCTCACCGCTTACACATAAAGATTGTTGACAAACTTATGGGAGAAAGTATGTGTCAGAATGCTGATACCGTTTATTTATAAAATATAATCAAAGCCTACAAATACAGAGTAGTTAATTTGGGATTCATCCCAGGTTTACAATTAACTTTAAAAATACCCAAAAGAATTGTGTGATTATCCACAGAGAAGTGAGAAACAGGAGAGGGGATACATTCAATGGTGTCTAGCACCAGTCGCTGGTGTCGAGAGCATTTTCTAATTTTCTAATCCCTGTTCGGGCTCTCCCTGGCTCGTCACAACAGTTAGTTGTTCCATAAGTGTGTATCCTCTGTATCTCACTTCTCTGTGAATCTTAAATCTAAGATGGCATAACAAGGGAAATTTCAGAGCACTTGTATTTAAATGATAGCCTACAGAACTAAACAGCTCCACAAAAAACACTAATTGCACAACTTTTTACCCTCATACTAAAATGAAAACAGCAGTTTTTAATACATGTGTTGCGAGTCTAAAGTAACTGTTTTACTCCCCAGGGAGTAAGTCCTTTTCAGTCCATATGGAGTAACTGTCATCTGTTGTAAACTTTGATTGTATTAGCCCAGGCAAATTAGACATATGCTCCCCAAAAAATCGTCTAAAGCTGGAAAGTGTTTTAATACCTTTTGGGGGTCCCAAATAAGACTCCTGTGAGTTTGCGACAGATTCTGACGTCTGCTTAAGTTTTGGGAGTCGAAAAACTAAGAAAATTTTGCACTTTTTTCAGTTTTTCGCTTATAACTCCTAAATAACGAATCCTAAGGAAAATGTTGTTCAAAGATGTCTTTTAGTGGATTAAATTCCGCGTCGATTGGTGTTAAATACGTCAAAATCGGCCGAGCCTTTTAGCCGCTGTAGCCTTTCAAAGTTGGGATATTTTCATCAACATGGCCAAAAGGTTAATTATTTGACCAGTTATCGACTTACAACTCCTAAACGACGCATGCTATACAAAAATGCGTCTGTAGTTAGTTTCGAAAACACAAAATTTGGCGTAGAATTATGATTATGAATGACTAGATAGTGGTTTATTTCATGGTTGTCATCCAGAATCCAAGAATGTGTGAAGGGAAGGGTAGCAAGAGCTCCTATGCAATTTTAAATCTAATGTTGTTATCTGGGGTTACAAAAATTCTAGGATTCGTCCTAAGCTCCCATTAATACGATCCCATCTCTGGACACTCCCAAATGATGTTAAGTGATTCTAATATATAATAAGATATTACAACGAGAAAGATTTTATTAAATTTAGCAAAAATGTTATTTTTTAACTTAATAAACGAAAGATGATAATGGGACGGATGTACATAGTTTTACTATGTATTTAGCCTATTAAAAAAAAACTATTGGGATTTTTCGTAGATTTTACCATATAACTTTTCTACTTCTCATCATTGGAATCTTAAGAATAAAGATTCATTCTTTGCTCTTATTGGTCTTGCCACAAATGGTGACATTCGGTACCATCTTTTTCATCAGATATTGAATTGAGATAATCGTGCCCCTTTCAAGTCTTTCAGACAGTAGTGCATTATATCCCTGCATTTCATATGGAGCGAGATAATGTAAACCTTTTTTAACATGTACACGATGGTCGAGATAGGTAGACGGAGTTGATAAGTTCTTGTCGAAACGGTGGATTAGCCGTAGTGATGGGAGTAAACCCATTGGCGTTAATTTTCCATACCTATCTCTCTGAATTAAGTACAATTTTAAATGAGCTCTAAAGGATTGGTGGATGAGCAGCCCCTTTTGTTAGAATCAAAGTCAAAATTAGTTGAAAGTGTCTTCTAGAAGAGACTCACTTGATTTGGATATTTTCTGCTCCCAAGCATGTATAGGGCCAACCTGCTTCTGCAACTTCGCCAAGCGTTGTAACCCGCCAGAACACAGTGAGATCCACATTGATTGGAGTAAACAGCATGAGTAGTTTTAGGCTAAATGAATGTTTGATGTTAGATTTTTGACTCTTCTACATCACGCTTTCTTCATCAAACTGCGCTAGTGGGTACGGACCTATTTTTAATCCAAAGTATGATTCAAATTGAGGCTTGGATTTAATTTGGAATATCACGTGTTGACTGACGGGGCAGATTCTTCTTTAATCTTTGATGTTGCCATCACAGCTCGCGATTAATGTCACCACTTCCTTTTATTCTGCACAGTTTCGTGTTCTGATTTTCGTGCAAGCTGTGCCTTTCCATTATGCTTTATACGTATCTCGCGTTGATGCTATCATATGGGATAACTGCTGAGCTGATTGACATGAGCAAACTATTTTCAGTAAATGGGTCGTGACACTGGAACCATTTGATGAATTTATTTTTGATCCCACCGTATCCGTGGAGTTTATATTGTCAACTTGCTGATAATATGTTGAAGAGGTGATCCCACAATATCCCTTAATTTGATGGGTAGCATTCACTGCGATGGGCCTGCCAGCGAACCATCGGTCTAGATCCACATCATTGATTCCCCTATCTCGGAAAAGCCTCCACAGTAAGATGTTGCTCTCATGAATACTTACTTGTTCATAGGCCATACTGCAGGATCCATGACGTCACACTAGTGGATAAAATCACTGCCATATCCCCTATGTTTTTGGTAATTAGGCTGGTTGTTTGCCAGATTTCAATGGTAAGATTTTAAACTTGACAAGCATCTGATCTAGTGTTAACAATCAATAGCGGTTAAATGGTGAAGCCGATCTTAATGAATTGGAAAACATTCTACGCAGACGTTTATGCTCTTCAAACTAACTACAGGAACATTTTTTCTATAGCATGCGTTAGAAGATGTAAGCCAAAAACAGAAAGACGAATACAGGGATAGATTGTGTATAATGGGTGGTTGGGATGGTGGCTGTGGATGAATCCTAGAATTTTCGGAACCTCAGACAACAATATTGGACTAAAAATTACATAGGGGGTCTTACTCTCATCACACCTTATTAGATAAACCTCTGGATGACCATCATGGAATAAACCACTATCTAATAATTCATAATCCATTTAAGGACAGGATTTATGTTGTTACCAATTTTATTAAAATTTACCAACTTTAACTTTAATACTTTTTTCAATGAAATGGCGACCATACAAAGTAGGTAACAATCAATTGCCGTTATTGATTAGTAAAAAAAACATTATACGTAGAATTGTGTGTTTTCCAAACTAACTACAGGCGCATTTTTGTATAGCATGCGTCGTTTAGGTGTTTTAAGCCGAAAACTGGCCAAATAATCAACCTTTTGGCCTTTTAATGAAAATATCCCAACTTTGAAAAGATACAGCGGCTAAACGGCTCGGCCGATTTTGACGTATTTAACACCAATCGACGCGGAATTTAATGCACTAAAAGACATCTTTGAACAACAGTTTCCTTAGGATTCGTTATTTAGGAGTTATAAGCGAAAAACTGAAAAACGTCCAAAATTTTCATAGTTCAAAACTCAAGCAGACGTCAGAATCCGTCGCAAACTCACAGGAGTTTTATTTGGAACCCCCAAAAGGTATTAAAACACTTTCCAGCTTTAGACGATTTTTTGGGGAGCACACCCTATATTTGATCTAATTTGCCTGGACTATATGCATTTATCAAAATTATGTATCGATTGATTTAATTGGTTGTACCTTATTGTTGTCTTGTCAATAGTTTGACATATCGATATTGTACACGAAAAAAATTGTAATAAACAAAATTATTGATTCACATACTAAACAGTTGTTTGTTTACATTAGCAATTGAAAACAATTTGGAAGTTGTTTTGAGAAGTTACCCTTATATATAAAGTATTTTCATTTTTCTAGCTTAAGTTAGTTGAATAATGTTGCAATATGACAAAAAAATTGTTTTTGAGACGGGCAAAAAATGACTTTTCACCCTCATTTTTAGTTTTTTTTAGCTCATTTTTTACATAGTGAAACTTGAGCTTGGGTCAAAAATAGTAACTTTACACCTAGTGATGACATAATACTACTATCACAAACTCCATTATTAATGGCGGTAGTTTAAACACATTGAGGAAAACATCTTGTTCTTTAAAAACTACAGTAAATGTTCTTACATTACACAAAGAATAATCTAATCTCTAATCTCTAAGCTCTTTGATAGCAAGGGTGTCTAACTTACCGGGCATTAAGAACCAAAACTAAAATAATAGGTATTCTCAAATACAAGTTTAAGTTAACTGTGTTGATAATGGTTCGGTCTGCAGTAGTATACACTAACTGCAGTTTCTTGCTCTAAAAGGCTAATCATGAATCAGGTTAGAGCTATAAAATAATTCCTCACAGATGAGTTTGTTCTAAGTTTTCAATAAATCAATAGCTTGGCAAACAGTTTTCAATGATAACATTTTTGGCCACTTATAAATATAAAAAACTTAGCTAAAAAGAACATAAGAAAAACCAAACATATTTAAACTATCATCGTTTTTGGTTTCCGTAAAAATATAAGTAAAACAGACTAGAGTTTACAACAAAATATATACATAAAAGTAGAAATACTATGCAGAATATTCCTGTAAACTTATATCATTGCTTATTGAATTTAATGTTAATTATTAAGGTTGTTTATAAATTAAGGCAATCATCGAACTCCCGTCGCAGCCGAATTAGCTAGTAAAATTCAAGATATACGTCGTGTTCATTATATCGTTTGCTACCGTTCTAGCTCATTCCCAATACTGCGGAACGATTGGTCTGTTCATTGTATTGAAAAACTTTGAGAAAGAAAATTGATAACTACCAAGTATAAACCATGTTCCGTAAATAGATTTTAGGTGTCTCGGTATTCAACCAATGTTGAAGTTTATTGCCAGTTGACGAACATGAATAGATTAACATGTTTAGAAGTACAACATGTGCGCAATTGGTGGAGAGAGTTTGAGGATGGTTTTATACATTTGCCCGATGTTCACCATTAGTGAGCTAACTGCTGTTGTGCATAAGTCTCATATGTACAAAGATAGGGTGAATTTTGCATAAAGATTGTGGTGTGACTGAACAAGAGATATTATCAAACGAATACCAATACCCTTATTAGATGTCTCTAAAAAGATTATAAATTACTACGATCAGCCTTGGAAGTCTTAAACACGCTGATCTGCGAGCAAAGTTTTCCAGAATCCACTAGCTGTCACAACAGAAACTGATGAAAACCCGATCCCAACATCGTTGGGTGTGTAAAATGTACACTCCCTAAACCACTAATGCACATTTTCTACATCAAACTACTTTCCTGCATACACATTTGTCAACTAGCAACAGTAACCGCCAAGAATTGACCCCCTTCATGCAGAACGTGATTCATACTTGTCAGGAGCGTTAGTTTTCTTTTACAACAGTTTTTAATACTATAATCTGGCTAATTTTCCATTAGGGCCGGGAACCAGCAAGTAGAATAGTAGTAAAAGTAAGGAAGGCGTTGGTTTTAGAAACTAGCTTGCTTGGTTGTGATGGGAGTTTAACGGAGACCTTAATTTACATACAACCCTCGCATAATTAATATCTAAAGTTGTTTAGATTTACTTAATATACAAAATGTCAACATTGTCTAGAGCATCCAGTGTAAGAGGCTCAACAAATAAATGAATTGCATCAAACTACCATCATATTGTTAAGGTAAACTGAGCAATAATAAACCCATTAAAAATCATACTTCAAGAGGATTCAAAGAAGCTGATTTCAGCTTAATGTTCTATAACTCGTCATCAATTTTTTTCTGTTCTGTTGCCCGTCCTATGTCTCCTTTTCTCTGTTTTTTGCTCTTTTTCTCCGATGGTTCAAAAGGTTCAGCGAGGCAAGCTTGGTTGTTTGCGTCGAGAACTCTCTCGACACAGAGATATTGTTGTAGACCTTTGTCTTGCGAGCCCTTGTACCAATCTTCTATATCCTCTTCAAACTCTTCTAGCATGAGTTCACACTGAAATAAATGTTAGTCATCACTAAACAGTTACTGGAGAATAAACTGGAGAAATAGATTTTAATCGGAAGATCAGAAAAGGGATATTTTAGGACAGCATTAGAAGGAGGCTTAATAGGCTAAGATGGTTTTGACATGTAAGAAGAATATGAAAATTAAATATTCATAGGAACAGTTTATGGGAGCAAAGCAGATAACCCAAAAGTAAAAAGACATTGGTGTTTTGGTCTTTAAAAAAATCCCCAAATAAATAAATAAATAATTCTTTATGGTCACATTAACGTTTTGAATCATAGCGCAGCTAAAAAAATGATGACATTGTCAAGATTTTACTAATACTAACTAAAAATAATACAACAATAATATTTCTTGTGCAATTTGTTAAACCTAGGGTGCAAAAATTTGAAACAAAAACAGAAAAAAATAAGAGCTAATCAAATAAGAACTTTGTTCATACAAAATAAAAGTCATATTGATTGGTTAGTTTAATTGAGGTAATCATTAACACTGTAATATGTTTTACTAATCAGAAAATCAGGAAGGCTGCTTTTAAAAGATTTATTACTTACTTTACTTTCAAGGTTTACGTTAATTCATCTAACTGCGATAAATTGGGTGAAATATACATATTTTGAACATTTAGCATTGTTTAAAGAAACAATAATGATATTAATTGCGTTAGTTGCCAAATTTGGTTGATCATTCAATGAATAAAATATTCCCCATACCGTACGCCATAGGAGTTATTATTAGTATGTTATATGGTATCTCTTCCTTTGGAAGAACCTTTAAATAGTATTAAAATCGTATTGATGGCTCTTTTGTAGTTAAACACTTCCATGATTTCATCAGTGTAATGCAGATTAATCTATGATTTTATTTGAAAAAAAATATTTTTTGGGAAGACATATTCTAACTTAAAAGGGAGGTATAACCGTTACAGTGCAAGTTTGATTTTTCCTTCGTCTCGTCCCGTCAGTTCATATCGTATTTCTGTGCCAATGAGTGAACCCTCTAGCATAGTTTTGAGAAATTGATTGTGGGGTTACTGTTAAAGCTGGAATTCCTTGAAGTGAGTGATGTTAGTTAGTTGTCTCAGCCTTATCAATAACATAAAGTTGTCAATATAATCTCTCTACGGAATGTTAGGTGTAGTGGAATACTTGAAGTGAAGTTGGCTTTTATTCTTGAACTGTTAGGGGCCTCCTAGTTCATATGGTCTTACGGCTTCATTGGCAACAAATAATGCAAATGACATAGCAATGGGACATTTCCAAAAAGCAAAAATACTGTAAATTGGCTGTTATGTATATTGATGTTTACACATTGTTAATCAACGTATCTTATAAAGGATTGTGTGATCAGTTTAAAAGGAATATGACCTTTCTGTCATGACAGTAGCTGCCTAAATAGTATTTTCTCTTTGTACCATACTTTACAGCCAAAATGTCGTGTTATTTTCAATAATGTTACCAAACCAGTGCGCCAAAGTCCGTAATATAGGCAGGTGCAAATAATTTCTCAAGATGGGTACGATTTTAGGCAAGGTTTCTATGTTTGGATTTTATTAGACACGATAAGAGCAGATATTTCTACATAAATATATGATATGTGTACAATAATATGATAAAATATAGGCAAAAGTGGTGAAAAAGGCAGACACCAACCCGTACAATATATATAATAAGAATAATTGAAGAATTGCTGTGTTAAAAGGATTTTCCACTGATTTCGTAATGGAACGTTATATTGCAAAACATGACTAGATGAAGAAGAAAATCAATTTTAAAATCGGAAAATAACATTGCAAATACTTATTTGGTAGAATTCAGTAACTCTCAATAAATGTGTGTTGTTTGAAATACAATTTAAAAATGAACAGCTGTTTCATTAAACAGTATTATTCACATGGCCAAAATGTAAACAACTCTGTGGAGGGATCTTTAAAGGCTTCTGGGGCAGAGTCCTAAGCGATTTTGCTTAGTTTTTCTTTTGATAACTCATCTACAGACCAAGACCTTTCTTTGGACACTTCTACCAAGTTTCTACGCCCAGACGTTCTCTCAAATTAGAGGGGACAAAGTTTCCAATTAAATATTTAGATTCCCCATGTTAATCTTATGGGAGAAACTCCAACTTTGATGGCTTGTGGGGCAAAGCCCGAGGATTTTTATTACAGGAATTGGTGAAAGGGGGCGTATACACAAAAAATACTTTATTTTGACACGTCGTTTGTAAAAATCCGTCCATTATTAACGGAGGAGTAGTGTTTCGTAGAAATCGCCTTCACGTATTGTATATAAGGATTAAAATTTTTAGAGTTGAGGGTAGTTTATTAAAATTTATTTTTATCCATATATTTAGGCGTTTTTTTTTATACAAGCTTCATTCATTGTTTTGGATATTGAAAATTATTTTAAATCTAGTGTTATAGATGTGGTCAAAGTTTTTGCTAACGTATTCATCAAAATTTGAATGCACCACTAACAATGTTTTGTAAATAATCAAATGTGAAAAAGTCACAATATTCAATTCTTTCAAAACTATTTAACATGAAGATTTCCATGGTAAAAAAGTAAACTACCACTTTAAACTTACAAAATTCCAACTAATTGTATAAAAAAAACTACAGAAAGGCACATAGCATCGCTGTGGACCTCCAATGTACCGTTTATATTGTAATTTAAGGGGAATGTGACTGCAAAATTAAGTAATTTAAGGAGAAAGATAGAAAATTGAAAAATTATTTCTTATCCTTAAAAAGTTTTTTTTTTATGTTATGTTGTGTTATTGCTATTTATAGATATGTATTGAAACACGATATGCAAATTTTTTACCGAAATAAAGCAAAAAAGGGTGTCCTCCTCCTCTACAGGAAAAAGTAGCAAAACAAGTGTTGTGTGCAATCCCTTTTAAACTCAATAATGCCGTCAACTTCCAATATATAATATTTCAATCATCTAAGCCCGACACCGTTTATTCGGGTGGGCCTCTCCCTCCAGCTTAGCCTCACATTATTGAGCTTAGTCAGGAATCCACGCATGTAGAAAGACTTCAGCTCTACACTCGTCAGTGCAACACCTTAACCGACTGAGCTAGCATGCCACCATCGGACGATAGGGTAGTTTGCAGTTGTAAGCAAGCACACGACGACACTAGCGCTCTTAGGTCTGATTCAACCAACTATTTGAGCGCCAGTGGGTTACAGTACGACTGCTACTTTTAATCATTCGCTACGAACGCCAGTTTAGCAAATGATTAAACATTATACATAACTTTGATGTTACTTTTCTCACATATCTTTAGACTAAGAGTATCCAAATCTTTACCACATTTTTATACATAACAAACTTAGTTCCTACTAGAAGGATAGGAATAATCCATGCAACCCACAAGTAAAAAAAAATAATTACTGATTTTTTTTAAATAGTGCATTTTTATAAATTTCAAAAAGAACACTAGACTAAATATATTTTTAAAATCTCTATGAGGAACTAGATAAACATTTGATCTTTAAAATAAAAATAATAAGGCTCTATAGTTATCTAGATATATAGTAGCATATACAGTTAACATTAAATAAAATAGGCAGTCACAGTACCCTTAAACAAATTAAGCATTTAAATCTTATTATTGAGGTTAAGATAGTTAAAACTGAACTTTTACAATTTCACTATTATTACAGTTAAATGAATTATTAATTATGTACAGTTATGTTCTTCTCTCTTACTGCTTTCAACTTTTCTGCGTGGTTCATTAGAAAACTAGCTTTGTATGGACACAATTCTATTGTATTACTAATGGAGACAGAAGTCAATAGAGTATTAAAAACTGTTGGTTAAACCACAGAGTTTAAACATTCACTGCAGATAAACCAAACAACTATTTTCTAGTAGTGAACCTACTCACCTGAGTTTTCATGTTCGTTATTTCAACAGAAGGCTTGTCCCACAGCTCTAAAGGAATTCCCAGATCAACTTTCACTCCTTTGTCACTGTTAAAATGGTGTATTTTAGAGAAACATATAACATTAGCAGTGAATTTGTTAAGCAGTCTATATTCTACGCTTCTCAATGGGGATGAGACATATAAGAAAACTACTATCATTAACTATAATAGTCAAAGCTACTATAAATTCCACTGTAATTACAGCCTGCTTTAGGCGTGTATGAAGGTTGCGGCCGCACAGTGTCCCAGGCTTGGTGCAAAATACAAAAAGTTTTTAAAAGTCTGTACATTTTACATTAAATATGAAAATTTAAAAAAGGGAAGTTTAAATAAATACTTATAATATACACTGAGATATTTGTTAGTTAGTTTTGTTGTGATAATACTTTTATTGTAATACAGTATAAGGGCTCAGTGGCTATAGGAGAAAGGAATGTCTGGCAACAGAGCGACCTTAGGATGGGCAGAGCATGCTTGGTATTTTATACGTATGGGAGTCGGAAGGATAGGAGTTCGGGATTGGAGGTGTATGGTAATAAAACCAACATCTCCCTTGCCCTTGGAAGCACAGCGACAGTTTTTCAATTGTGGGTCTTGACGATTGAGTGCTGTGCAAAAACCATCCTGTACAAGAACCTGAGGCAGGGGAAAATACTGATCCTCTAAGACAGCCAAGCTGCAATAAAGGTGCTGGGATCTTGTGTGACAGAGTTACAAACAGTAAAGGTGTGTAAAAACACCCTCAAAATGCTAGCTAAGTGGGACCAGGTTTAAATAGTGTGGGTCCCTGGACACTGGGCTCGAGAAAACTGACGCATTGCCCAGGAGGGGTGCAGAAGAATAGCTTACAGAGCAGAACCCTACTGTGGTACCCCTATTAGTTATGGAGTAGCTACTGTAGAGGATACTGCGGATCAAGATCTTTGTATCCTCTGAGAAATGTCAAGATACGAGGGCCGTTTTTGCGTATAGCTCTGTAGTTCAGGTGTTTGCCGCAACAAGGCTCCTCGACACAGTAGGCCTTCTTAAATAGATGTTACTTCTTATTATAAACATATAAACCATAACTACAACATTTGGAATGATAAGGTAATTAAGTTTAACTCACACTAGCCCATGGAGGGTTTTAAATGTCTGACTCATTCCTCTAGCGAATCTTGAGCTGTCATCTCGCTCTTTGTGGATGTTATATTCAAGAATCCTGTCACAAATCTTGTCTAACGACTCAACCAGCCGCAACTCTCTATAAGAAAAAAGAAAAGGCAAAACCACTAAACAAGAATATTTTAGTATTAGGAAATGTATTTTGGATCTTTTCTGTTATGACTACCACTATGGGTTACAATATAGGTTGAGTTATGATATAGTAGGTTGGGTTAAAACTCATAAATAACCTAAAATATAATTGAACGGTTATTTTAAGTCAATATGTCATAGATTGAATGACTTATTTGCAGAAACACACTGTTCAGCAAGATACAAACTTAGGCAGCACTATTTTCTCCGTTTAAATTGAATGTTCTGACTTAGGCCTACTATAGCGGCATGAATCTTGAGACCATTTAAATCTGAGACACATAGTGGTGGAGGTATAATGGAAAAGGTCCTGCATTTTACATTGAGTGTCTCAGAAATAATTGAATATGTCCTGTCCCCGGTTAAATTGTTGCAAGCTACCTGCACAACTCCCTGAAAACTTCACAAACAAATGGACCACAAAATTGAGCGGAGTCATCAAGGGTTCACATTATATTGTTTTTGTCATACTGCAGTAAAAACAGTCGTTTTTAATGCATGCGTTGCGGGTCTAAAGTAGCATTTTTACTCTTTAGGGAGTAAAAATCATTTTAGCCTCTATGGAGTAAAAATCAGCTGTTCTCAACTCAGTTGTAAATTTCTATTGTAAACGATTGCATGTATCGAAATATGTATCGATTCGTGCTTCGTAATCATTTTAACCTACAGTCTACAGTCTCTTCCCATAGTGTTTTAGCATTGCAGATATATTAATCCATTCCCACACTCAACACTGCTCACCTTTACTACTCCCTTCACCACCCCCTACGTCGTAGACCTGTTTCCTTCTCTTCCCATAGCATTTTAGGATTGCAGATACATTAATGTAATTGCCAAAGACAGTTCCCACACTCTGCACTGCAAGCCTTACTACTTCCTTCACCATTTCTTACGTCATAGACCTGTTTCCTTCCCTTCTCATAGCATATAAGTATTAGATACATTTATCTAACAGCCCAAACGGTCCCCCCACTCTGCACTGCCAGCCTTTACTACTTCCTTCATCGTTTCCTACGTCGTGGGGCCTCTTTCCTTCCCTTCTCATAACATTTTAGGATTAAAGATACATTAATCTAACTGCCACAGATGGTTCTCACACTACGCTCAAACTTTAGTTTACTTCCGAAGCCACTACATGGTGGACCTGTTTTCTTCACTTTCCATAGCAATTTAGTATTTTAGATACGTTAATCTAATTGCCACAAACATTCCCCACACTCCGCACTGCTAGCCTTTACTTGTTCTTTCACCATTTTCTATGTCGTGGTGATGCTTCCATTCCTTCCCATAGCATTTCAGCATTGCAGATACATTATTCTAACTGCTACAAACTGTTTCCAGTTCCCAAACTCCACACTGCTCTCCTTAATACTTCCTTCACCTCTTATTACGCCGCGGACCTGTTTCCCTCTCTTCCCATAGAATATTCAGATTGTAGATACCTTAATCTAATCGTCATAAACAGTTCCCACACTCCGGACAGCTTGCTTGACTACTTCCTTCACCACTTCCTGCTTCTCGGACCTGTTTCCCTCCCTTCCCATAGCATTTTAGTATTGCAGAAACCTTAATCTAATCGTCACAAACAGTTTCCACAGTCCGAACTGCTCGCCTTTACTACTTCCTTCACCACTTCCTACGTCACGGACCTGTTTCCCTCCCTTCCCATAGCATCATAGGATTGCAAATACCTTAATCTATTGGTCTTAAACAGACCCCACACTCCGAACAACTCGCCTTTACTACTTCATTCACCACTTCCTACGTCACGGACCTGTTTCCCTCCCTTTCCATAGCATTTGAGGATTGCAGATACCTTAATCTAATCGTCATAAACAGTTCCCACATTCCGGACAGCTCGCTTTGACTACTTCCTTCACCACTTCCTACATCACGGACCTGTTTTCCTCCCTTCCCATAGCATTTTAGGACTGTAGATACCTTAAACTCATCGTCATAAACAGTTTCCACACTCCAGAAAGCTCGCCTTGACTACTTCCTTCACCACTTCTTACGTCGCGGACCTGTTTTCCTCCCTTCCCATAGCATTTTAGGATTGCAGATACCTTAATCTAATCGTCACAAACAGTTCCTACAGTCCGGACTGCTTGTCTTTGCTACTTCCTTTACCACTTCCTACGTCACGGACCTGTTTCCCTCCCTTCCAATAGCATTTTAGGATTGCAGATACCTTAATCTAATCGTCATTAACAGTTCCCACACGAAATAATTAAATATGTCCTGTCCCTAGTTAAATTGTTGCAAGCTACCTGCACAACTCCCTGAACACTTCACAAACAAATGGAAATATAATTAAGACTTTGAATATTTAATTCATTAGCCTACTTATCAGAGAGAAAAATGAGATCAGTTTGAATTGGGAAAAAATGCAACGTAGGTAGTTTCAACTTTTAAATTCAGACTACAGGAGACAAACACACAGACAAGACTGTTTTAAATCCTAAAAATACTAAGTAAACTACCGTAATGGTAAAGAACAAAAAATTGAGAGTGAGTTGTCAGTCGATATTTTAACATTAGTAATCGAAACGGTCCCTATAACAAAACACATTGTCTAGGTACAAGTAAACGTACAATAATAATTTCTTAAAATTACAGTATCTGGTACACTTTGTAACTTACGATTTCTTGTAATGTGTCTTCTTTTTAGGCTTGATGTCATCTAAAGAATAGCCTATTTCAATCACTTCTTGAACTTTGCCAGTTTCTTGCAGACGACTTTCAAGTTCATGGGTCACAATCTTGCAAACTACAATAAATAATTAATTTTTTTTTTACTTTCTTAGTACTGGATGGTAAGAATAACTAAAAGCTCAAACACTGACATACACAATTTCAGAGAAGGCACAGAATTATGGAACCTATTTGGGAAATAAACTTAATTAACTCCAGAGTCTTTTACACAGACATAGGCCTATAGCCTATAAACAAAAAAATGCAAACAAAAAATGTCAAAATTTGTTACGTTCCCACAACTCCAAAACTCGTTAATATGAACATTAAAGTGTACGAAAAGTAGTATTTCAATGACAGTGTACCTACTTTGTTTAGCAGAATGGAATCATTTCCAGGTATTTACAATGGCATTGTTGTCGGTCTTTTCTTATCTGTCTGGGAGAGATGACTGTTTGCTGTAACGTCTCCAGCAGCAGCTCGCAGTAATGAATCACTGTTGACTTTGTCGCAACAATGAGACAATGATTAATTGTAGTTCAGTTAAAAAAAAAATTAATTTTAAGCTTTTTCAGAAGTTTGGTTGTGTGGGGTTAAGGTTAGAACAGTGTCATCTAACCTAACCTAACTTAACCAACCAAACTTTTCGAACAGCTTAAAACTTGCAGTAGTTATTCTACTGTTTTATGTGTTTTCTCCAAATTTATATAAAAAACCTTTTCTAAATATTGCATTTTTCTTTATTTATAACATATAAAAGGTTTCATTAAGTTATGGAGGTGTGTAATTAATAAAATAGAGTTGTGGGCATGTAACGGATTTTGACTACAAAAAGTAACAGGAACAAAATTATAAAAAAAAATATAAAAATGTGTAACAAAATGTCGGGTTAATGGTGTCCTGCAATTACAGTATGCAATTGAAAGTACATTTCAACCATGGATAACCCAGACCCTCCAGTATTCTGACTTGTTCCCTCCTCCCTTAAACAAATACACTAGGCTACTTATCTATATTTATAAAAGAGGAAGTTTGTATGTTTGACCCTTATGAGCTCAGACAACGTTCAACCAATTGCCACAAAACTTGGTACATACGTGTAGAATTTCATGGAATAGGTTTATAGGCCTACGCCAACAATTTCGTGATCTGCCAATCGGCTCTGCCCCAGTGGCTCTAACAACATGTAACTTACTCACTGCTTGATGGCATCTTAAGACTAGAAAACTGGACTGTGGACTGTGTTAATAGTCCAAGTTTTAGCTAGGTGACCGGCAACGTGGCCAGCGACCAATAGCCACGGCGCTGGGGACATGGCAGGCCAGCATAGTGTGATAGAGGCCCAAAGTTGTTAACTACCCGCAATCCAGCTAGTCTGTTATACAACCTATATATACCGTACTAATAATTTTACTGTCATCAAGACTGTTCAAGATGACGGCTTCTTGTAAGTTAATGTTTTTAAGACAAGCACTTTATGTTGCTATATGTATCGATTGTGCCTGACGATAGCCCATACATTTATGTAAGTTACCGTAATGTTTTTGGCAAAAAAGAGTTCTGATTAAGACTACCGGTAGGCTACAGTAACTGATTTCTGATTTCTCAAGGTGTTCGGACAAAGCTTATTTTAAGACAAAGCAAGTTTGGTTTTCAACCTGATAAGTTATATGTAGGCCTACATATAGCTATAGGCCTATATTCATTTGAGATGGGGACTCCATCTATGTGCGTATTTTAGCACAATTAGAATGAAGGGTGACTAGAATGCAGTGATTTCAGTTTAAAGTGTGATGTCGTGTGTGTGTGTGTAGCCTTTGACTATTAATAGGCTACAACCAGACATTCCATCCCCATGTAGTAGTGTGTAGTCCCCATGGGTTAGGTTGTCACCAGGTTTTTGATCAAATTTGTCTTAGTTGATGTGAGCCACCTACAGATTGCACTAGTCAATGGTGTAACTTATCTCTGTTGCTGACTAAAGCCCCGTTCACATGGGGCAAGTTTACACGCTACTCGCCGGCGTGTAAGAAGCCAGCGAGTTGGCGAGTGTGCTTGTATTCGTTCACACGGAGCTTGTCCACTTGCCAACTCGGAACTCGCCGACGTGTAGAAAGACGCCGGCGAGTCGGCGAGTGCGCTTGTAGTCGTTCACACGATGCTTTTTCCACTCGCTCAGTAGCTGGCTTGAACTAAATCCACCGACATCTTCGAATAACATGCGCACAAGTACAAGCAACTGTGTTCATACTGGGCTACTTTACACGCCTACTCGCTCAAAAGCTGGCAAGTTGGCGTGTAAAGTAGCGGCAGCGTAAACTTTTTCCAGAGCTTTTTTACAAGCAGCTTTTGAGCGAGTACATCGTTCACACTGAGCTATTTTACTAGCTGCGTGTAAAAAATCCGGCTTGTAGCTTGTAAACTCGCCCTGTGTGAACGGGGCTTACGACCGGTTTTCATTACAGTAGTCAGGATCATCATTTGAAAGCCCAATGATCAAGCAAGGACAGCTGGGTGCAGTTTCAAACCACACAAAAAATTCCACACTATGTTTGATTTTCAATGTTTTAATAAATTTAATTTATGTTCGTAAATTTAAATTTAAATTGATAAGTTAGGGCTTAATACTTACGTGAATTAGGCTAAAAAACTGGTGTCACCTGTCTAGGCTATATCTTACCGTACCAGTACCATGTTATCTTATGGGACGTCTGGCGCTAAACAACACTACTCTTGCGACATTGCCAATTCTACCACCAGGCTGCGGCCTGGAGTTAAAGGAGCGCCGTATATTTAAACCCAATGGACTCGACTTTAAATAGCAAACAAATCAGATAAAAATAATGTTCAAAGGTGAACAATTAGATGGCAATTGCAAGGTTTGGGTTAGCCTAAAGGTAATTATTTGGACGTAGTGACTACTCGCAAAAGTAAATTTTTTTTTCATAATGACCTAAATTTCACGCTGAATCCGAAAATGACGTTTTTATTTTTCGGAAAATACCGGAAATTCCCTAAAAAAGGGAAAAACGGGAAAAAATTCTTTTTACTCAAAATACGTCATGTGGGTACTCAAAATACGCGGAATATTGTGTAGATTAAGAATATGCAAGAATTTTTTTTGATCCGATGAAAAACACCGGAGATAGGGCGAAAAAACTGAATAATCGGTTAGGTTAGGTTTGGTTAGGTTAGGTTAGGTTTGGTTAGGTTAGGTTAGGTTAGGTAAGGTAAGATTAGGTTTGGTTTGGTTAGGTTAGGTTAGTTTAGTTTAGGTTAGGTTAGTTTAGGTTAAGTTTGGTTAGTTTAGTTTATCAATATCATGAGTATTGTAAGTAAACTAAACTAACCTAACCTAACCTAACCTAACCTAACCTAACCTAACCTAACCAATCCAATCCTAACCAAACCAACCCAAACCAAACCTAACCTAACCTAACCAAACCTTAGTTAGGTTAGGTTGGTTTAGGTTAAGTTTGGTTAGGTTAGTTTATCAATAACATGAGTGTTGTAAGTAAACTAACCAAACCTAACCTAACCTAACTAAGGTTTGGTTAGGTTAGATTAGGTTAGATTAGGTTAGGTTACTTACAATACTCATGTTATTGATAAACTAACCTAACCAAACTTAACCTAAACTAACCTAACCTAAACTAAACTAGCCTAACCTAACCAAACCTAACCTAACCTAACCAAACCTAATCTTACCTAACCTAACCTAACCTAACCAAACCTAACCTAACCTAACCTAACCAAACCTAACCAAACCTAACCTAACCTAACCAAACCTAACCTAACCAAGGCCTAACCGATTATTCAGTTTTTCTCGCCCTATCTCCGGTGTTTTTGCATATTCTTAATCTACACAATATTCCGCGTATTTTGAGTACCCACATGACGTATTTTGAGTAAAAAAAAATTTTCCCGTTTTTCCCTTTTTTAGGGAATTTCCGGTATTTTCCGAAAAATAAAAACATCATTTTCGGATTCAGCGTGAAATTTAGGTCATTATGAAAAAAAAAAATTTTACTTTTGCGAGTAGTCACTACGTCCAAATAATTACCAGCCTAAATCATATCCTATAGGCCTTATAGGGTAAGTTGGTTGAGAATCTGAGACTAGGCCTACATCAATGTTATCAATTAATTAGGCCTAGGCCTAGTTAATACCAGTAAAGTTCGGTATTGGGATGGTTGGTTTTATATACTGTAGCCTACTTATTCAATCATAAATTCATTAATACTATAAAAATACCTTCACACTTGTTGGCGTACTTAACCCCTTCATTTTCTTCCTGACCGCCAGACGTGAAACTATATAAATGTAGAAATATTATTAACTGGATAACAACACTATTTACAATAGTCATTTTAAATGGTCATACAGGCTGAAATACACTATACAGTATTACCACCTAACCTAACCTAATTGTTGTTTTGTTTTCGTTTAGATAGAAGTAGGCTAGTCAAGTAGAAAGAAGAGAAGTCAGTAGTGTTTTTTTTGTTTGTTTATTTTCCCCTGGATCAGCAACTTGTAGCAGACCTCTGAATAACCATGCACCTAGTTACATGGAGCTATGTTTAAGCTATGCTTATACATACCTTTCATTAATAATTTGTATATCTGATAAGTACTTACTAGCTGTGTACCCTTACGAAGTGTGTGCTGTATACGGAGTTTTGCCTGTTCATCTGGAAAAATGCGCACTACATATGCAAATCACCTGTTGTTCAGATTATAAGAAGGTTTCAACTGACTACATGATACCGTCCGTAGAGCGGGTACAGACACGGCCGCCTTTAACTACAGGCCGCGGCCTGGTAGAATTGGCAACATTGCAAGTGGTGTTGTTCAGTGACAGACGTCCCATAAGATAACATGGCAGACAGGTGATATCAGCTCATTAATTCACACTTAATTGATTTAAATTTAAATTTATAAACATAAATTTATTAAAACGAGGTGTTAGCCCGTCCTACGTACGGGAATTCAGTAGTCAGTTAAAACCGTGTACAATTCAGATCAGCTAGTTTACACATATAAAGACAAAGTTTCTTGCAGTTTTAATGTGAAAAA